TGTCTCTCTCCCTCTCCTTCTTTCCCTTCCACTCTCTAAATATCAGGTGAAGATTTAAAAAAAAAAAAAAAAAAAAAGTGGCCCTTGACCTACCATAAACATAGAGGGGAGAGTGTCTGGGGAAGTTGATTCAACTCTGCAGGTGTTTCTGTGAGGTTGCAGTAGGTCTCATAACAGGACTATAACTCTCAGCCCCTCCCCTGGGGAAGAAGAAAATGCTGCTTTGTGTGTGATGTAGGCCAGACAAGGTTCACAGGGAGGCAGAGATCAAGACAGCTGTGGGATTCCAGAGAAGAGAGACAGGCAAAGAACCTGGCATGGTGCACAAAGATAAGGCTGGAGCCAAATCAAGGATCCTGGAATACCTTTTCTGCGTTGAGTTTTGATGAGCCTCTCTTTGAGGATGTGATCATACAAGACTAATAAAACTTTAAAAATTAATTAAAAAAAAAAAAACACTTTAGCTTAATGATAGCATGTAGGATGGGGTAGGGTGTGGCTTGGAGCAAGAGATAGGGAATCTTACCCTGACTGGTTTGGCTCAGTGGATAGAGCGTCAACCTGCAGACTGAAGGATCCCAGGTCAAGGGCATGTACCTTGGTTTCGGTCACATCCCCAATAGGGAGTGTGCAAGAGGCAGCTGATCCATGTTTTTAACTCTATCCCTCTCCCTGCCTCTCTGTAAAAAAATCAATAAAATATATTTTTAAAAATCAATGAAAAGTATTTTTTTAAAAAGAGATAAGGAATCTAGTAGGCAGGCTGAAAGTATCATCTTCATGGGAGATGATTAGGGATTTTCGTTGAAGAAAAAGAAAGAACTGACAGAATCAAAAGCTGTTGAAGGGCTGAGACTGGTTTGGCTCAATGGATAGAGTGTCAGCTTGGGGACTGAAGGGTCCCGGGTTCGATTCCGGTCAAGGGCACGTACGTTGGCTGCGGGCACATTCCCAGTAGGGGCTGTGCAAGAGGCAGCTGATCGATGACTCTCTCTCATCGATGTTCCTAACTCTCTATCCCTCTCTCTTCCTCTCTGTAAAAAAAAATCAATAAAATATATATATATTTTTTAAAATCATGAGATCAGCCTGTGAGGTAGGTATTGAAGACCCATTTTACAGAGGACAAAACAGGGGCCTGTGAGATGAATCAATTCGTGGAGTGTGCAGTGCATTGGGGTTAGCAGTAAACCCAGGCCTCCTGGCTCCCATTCAAGTGGGCACCGAACATGTGTCAAGATGTATTGGGAATATATTATCAGGCGTTACCCTCAATCTGGACACATAAATTATGATAAATGAAGGTGGAACCTGAGAGTGCCCCAGGAGAAGTACAGATAAGGCCTTCCTGCAGTCCAAACGGCTGACTGAGGACGTCGCAGGCAGGTTCCAGGAGGAGGAAAGCACTGATGCCACTAAGGCCTTGAGGACCTGGAGGGGACCGGCTATCACACGCCCTTTGTTCCATAGGTACTGTGTCCGGGAATCGCAGCCGTCCGGGCAGGGGGCAAGGGCTGTTGCGGTGCAGGCTGCTGTGGGAATCGCTGCAGGGTAAGATCCAGATTCAGAGGGGACCCAGGACGGGTCTCTGAACAGGTCTAGGAAGAGCCAACCTAAAGCCACGCCCCCTCTTCCTAGCTGCACCACCGGCTCTGCAGTCCCAGGATCCACCTCTTCCCCGCCCTACACAAACCCCATTACCCCCATGCGCACCCCACTCCACCCCCCACCCCCCACCCCCGGCCAAATCTTAGACCTCAATGAGCCTTGACCGGAGGGGACTACAACCCCCATGAACCTCTGCAGCTGATGGCTCTTAGGGTTAACCTAACTCCTAGCCTTGGGGCTTGAAGGAAAATGTATGGGGGGAGCGGGGAGGAGTTAGGCAGGGCAATCTCACCTCTCCTTCCACTCGCTCCACGTCCAGATGCTGCGCTCGGTCTTCTGCTCGGCGTTAGGATTGCTTGGAGCCATCTATTGCCTCTCAGCATCCGGAACCGGGCTCCGAAAGGGACCCATATGTTTGAAGGACAACGCTTGGGGATACCATTTCAAAGACACCGAGTAAGGCTTGGCCGGTTGTTGCGCCCTCACTACCCCATCCTGCGCCTCTCTGCTGTGGAGAGCGCTTCCTCCTCGGTGGGGTCTAATCAGGCCTTTGCAAAGCCCCCTGGGCACGTGCTCAGGGCCGGGAGCCAGGGAACCGGGGAGCCGGGAGCGGGCTCTCCGCGGGGACCTCAGTCTCTCACGTGTCCTTGTCGGACCCACAGAGGCTCCTACCTGCTCAACAGCACCGAGTGGGACGCGATGTGCCAGCAGCCGCCGCACGCGATCCTCTGGCACGTGACGCTCTTCTCGCTGATGGTGGCCGCCTCGTGCCTGGAGGTCGTGCTGTGTGGGGTGCAGGTGGTGAACGCGGCCATCGGGGTCCTCTGCGGCGACTGCAGGAAGAAGGTGGGTCCGCGTGCCCCGAGCAAGTTTAGAGGGACCCTCCTTGCTCCCAGGCTGGGCTGCGTTCTTACGTCCTCTTCCCCGCAGGGCACCCCGCAATGAGGCTCCACTGACCACGCTGCTCGCCGCCGCCGGACGCCCACCCGACCCACCCACCCCGCCTGGAAATAAACCGCTTTGAGCTCTCTTGCGCCTCTCAGATTGTGCCCTGTGTGAGGAGTTGTCCGACCAAAGCTTGTGGCTCTCCTGTCTGGGGCCCATGCACTCAGCTTATTTTCTTTTTCTTTTCTTTTCTTTTCTTTTTTTTTTTTTTTATTGATTATGGTATCATATAATTGTCCTCATCCCCTCATTCCCATCCCAAACCCCTCCCCACATATGCCCCCACCCCCCTGTTGTCCATGGCCACTGGCTAGGCCCATATGCACGCACACAAGTCCTTTGGTTGATCTCTCGCCCTTATCCCCAACCTCCCCTACTTTCCCTCTGAGGTTTGAGAGTCTGATCGCTGTTTCTCTTTCTCTGGGTCTGTTTTTGTTCATCAGTCTATGTTGTTCATCATTTCCTCTAGATGTGTGAGATCATGTGATCCAAGAAATACCCTTGTAAGAACCTAAACTGCGATAAGCCATAATGGTTATGCTGAGAGGCAAATGAATCAGTCTGTAGACCCCGCTTATTTTCTTAGCAAATAGTGATATTTTTAAGCACGAGTTTACATTGTTTATTTATTTATCATTGTTAATTGATTTTAGAGAGAGGAAGGGGAAGAGAAAGAGAAAGATTGGTGCCAAAAAGAAACATCACCAACTGGTTGCCTCAAACCAAGATGCATCTGCCGTCTGGGTGTGTGCCCCAACCTGGAAGGAACCATCTCTTAGCGCACCTGTCAGGCTCCTACCAACTGAGCCAGGCGGGCCAGGGCAGCACACAGTTACTGAGCTATTAGTGTGCACCCGAAGTACCGCCGTTAACAAGGCAGGCAAGTTCTGCGCTCTCGATTTAGCATTCCAGGGTGGAAAGTTGGCAGTTTCTAAAAGAAGCAAAAGATCAGCTCACGATAAGCACTTTTACAGAACTCCTTGAGAACTGGCCAATGTGGCTCAGTTGGCTGGAGCGTAGTCCTGTACACCCAAAGGTTGCCTGTTGATTTGATTCTGGGTCAGGGCACATACATAGGTTTTGGGCTCAATCCTAGTGGGGACTTATACTAGAGGCAGGTAACCAACCTATCTCTCTCTCTCTCTCTCTCTCTCTCTCTGTCTCTCTCTCTCTCCCCCTCCTTCCCTCCCCCTCCCCTTCTCTAAAATCAGTAAAAAATATATATATATATATATCCTCTGGTAAAGATTAAAAAATAACAACACGTTGACAATGGGATACCTATACACCCTGAGAAAGTGAAATTGGAGCTGAAATCTGCTTATGGGCTAACCGCCTAACAGCTGAGGGATTTCAGGCAGAGAGAACATCGAGAGCAAAGACCCAAAATAGGAATCAGTATACGGAAAAGCCACCGCTGGCGTTTGGGGGGAAGGGAGGCAGGGGACAACTAAGGAAAAGACACATTCACCAATCAAGCTCTAGAAAATGAAGCCTGAAGGTGTGGGAGCATGTCACCTCCTAGTTCAGTAGAAGTTTCTGGATCTGAGATCACTGGTGGCTCAGAAAGGAAATAACCTGGGCGTTTAGTGGGCGTGATGTGTGTGCAGACGCCTTCAGGAAGCCAGGCGCTTCCTTCCCTTGTACACAAAATTGTACTTAAGTGCCTTTTTTTCTGGACTATAAGTAAAGTGACCAGACATCCCGCTTTTGGCAGGACAGTCCCAATTTCTAACAATTTGTTCCGCGTCCCGTGGCGTTTTTGAAAAGTCTTGATTTTTGGAAAGATTCTTTTAAATCTTTTTGAATTTTTTTAAAAATATATTTATTGATTTTTTACAGAGAGGAGGAGAGCCGAAACCGGTTTGGCTCAATGGATAGATCATCGGCTTGGGGACTGAAGGGCCCCAGGTTCGATTCCGGTCAGGGACATGTAACTTGGTTGCGGGCATATCCCCAGTAGGGGGTGTGCAAGAGGCAGCTGATCGATGATTCTCATTGATGTTTCTAGCTCTCTATCTCTCTCCCTTCCTCTCTGTACAAAATCAATAAAATATATTTTTTTTAAAAAAGAGAGAGAGAGAAAGGAGAGAGGGATAGAGCTAGAAATGTTGATGAGAGAAACATCGATCAGCTGCCTCTTGCACACCCTCTACCGGGGACGTGCCCACAACCAATATACATGCCCTTGACCGGAATCAAGATGTGCCCACAACCAATGTACATGCCCTTGACCGGAATCGAACCTGGGACCCTTCAGTCCGCAGACCGACGCTCTACCACTGAGCCAAACCGGTTTGGGACGTCTGGTCACCTTACTATAAGTCCGGAACTTTGAGTAGCCAGCCATGGACCCCTGAGCCAAACCTGAGCTTTACCCCGGCCCATGCTAGGCTAGGAGACAGGGAGATGCAGGTTCCTGTGCCTAAGACAAATGACACCAAAGCCAGGGCGGGGAAGCTTTAATGCGGAATGTGGGACAGCCGAGGTGGGGCCAGGAGAGGGCCCACGGGGATCAGCTGCTGCAGCAGAAAAAGCGCACGTCGTTAAGGGCGGTGTCGTCCAGGAGGCCTCTAGACGCCTGGACCTTGGTCTGCGCACCACAGATGCCTTTGGGACACGCCTCACTCCACTTCCCAAAGTCTCCCCAGGCCAGGCCAGGCCCCTCCAGCTCCGTGCCGTCGGAGCAGCGGAAGCGCACGTTGTTCGCGCCCGTGTTGTCCCCCAGGGTCTTGGGTGCCTCCACTCGGAGTGAGAAAGCCACGAGGAAGCCGCCGCGGGGACACCACTGCGGCTCGCTCCACGCGCCCCACCTGCGAGGGAAGGGAAGACTCGCTGACTGTGGGGGCGCCCTTCACCCACCTCCAGCCCGACCCAGCCCCGGGGGCACTTCCCAAGCCCCAGGCATCCGCCGAGGTGCAGAGGGGAGGTCTAAAGTGTGGCAGCTGAGGAGTTCCCAGCCGGCTGGGAGGGTGTGTGTGTAACAGAGGATAAGGGCCACACCCCACCCTAGGGGGTCACAGGCTCCGGCCCCTCACCTTCCAGACTCGGACTCCACTGTGCGCCCACGGGAGCAGTGCAGCCGAATCCCGTTCATGGCCGTGTCGTCTCCAGAAATGCCTTGTGGGGCCTCCACCTGGCGCGAGAAGAGGGGTAAAGATGAGTCAGACTACCAGTCACTATTTTATTTTATTTTTTACAAATAAACGTTGAATGCATTCTTTTTCGTTTTTATTACTGGAATTGGTTGGCATCTTTTATTAAAAAAAAAAAAGCCACACATATTTGTATGGATTTCAGAGAGAAACGGAGAGAGAGACAGAAACATCAATGATGAAAGAGAATCATTGATCGGCTGCCTCTTGCACGCCCTCTACTGGGGATGGAGCCCGCAACCCCAACAGGTGCCCTTGGACCGGAGGAATCTAACGGGGACCCTTCAGACCGCAGGCTAAAGCTCTATCCACTGCGCCAAACCTTTGAGACCCAGATCTGAGCCCTCACCTTGATGGAGAACCCGATGGTGAAAAGTCCGTCGGGACACATCTCGGGCCAGGCCCAGTCGCCCCAGGGACCCCCGTTGGTCACCCCGATGGTGTAGCGGCTGGAACCAACCGCGCGGGCATGCCAGCAGCACGCCGCCCACAGCAGCAGCAGCAGCCTGGCTCCCGCGCCCCGCTCCATGCTGCAGCTCTGTGAGCCAGGGCCTCGTAAGCAGGTTTATACCACCTCTGCTTAGGGGGATCCGATTACGGAAGCAACACCAAAAAGTAATCGGATCCCAGAACCCCACAGACCTGCTTTGCTGCTCCGGGGAGAACAGTGCTCCCAGCACCAGAGGAGGAGGGGGATCAGGAGCAGACAAGTTGGAATCACCACCATCTACTGAACTTTTTTAAAAATATATATATTTTATTGATTTTGTACAGAGAGGAAGCGAGAGAGATAGAGAGTTATAAACATCGATGAGAGAGAGTCATCGATCAGCTGCCTCTTGCACACCCCCTACTGGGGATATGCCCGCAACCAAGGTACATGCTCTTGACCAGAATCGAACCCGGGTCCCTTCAGTCCCCAAGCCGACGCTCTATCCATTGAGCCAAACCGGTTTCGGCTGAACTTTTTTTTTTTTTTTTTAACAATTCTTTTTAAAAAATATATATTTTATTGATTTTTTTTTACATAGGGGAAGAGAGAGGGATAGAGAGTTAGAAACATCAATGAGAGAGAATCATCCATCAGCTGCCTCCAGCACACCCCCCACTGGGGATGTGCCCTTGGATCGAACCCAGGGACCTTTCAATCCGCAGGCCGAGGCTCTATCCACTGAGCCAAACCGGTTTCGGCTCTACTGCACTTTTACTGCAGGCCAGGAACTGTGGTTAGCGTCTAGCAGGCATGTTCTATTTAACCCTCACAATTTTAGAAGGTGGGAATAAGCCTTCCTAGTACCGTATGTAGATTAGGGAACTGGGGCTTAGAAATGGCAAGCAACTTGCCTGAGGTCACCGTCAGCCAAGCTGAGAAACACTTCACCCCTGGGAAGTGGGAAGCCCAAGGCTAGGGATGGAAGTGAAGGCTCCTGAGTCCCAGGGGACAGGATTGGTCAGCAGCAAATGCCAGGACCTCCACGACTCAAGGGAGCATCAGAGTGAGAGCTTGGGCAAGAACCCATGAACTGTGGGAGCTAGGAGGAGGCTTTGTAGAGATCGGGGTCCTCACTTCTTGAGAATCTGGGATACTCTCCCTCACCCTAAGAAGAAAGTATACACAGAGACAGGGACAATTCTAAGAAGTTTATGGACTGCAGGCTAAGAACAGGAGATGTTGTTTATTTGATTGCATCCCGTATCCTTTCTCTGAATGTACCCCCTCCAAGGCCACTAGGTGGACTCCTAATTTGCAAAAATCAAAACCAAGTCCCTCACCCCAAAAAAACATGCAAATTTGTCATCTGGGTACTACCCTTGATTTGCCTGCCCTTAATACACATTTCTTTGTTTATTAACATACTAGAGGCCCAGTGCACGAAATTCGTGTGCCGTTAGGGTCCGTAGTGGCTGCTGGCTGGTGGCGGCTGGGTGTCTCCCTCCCTTCCCCTGCCTGGCCCTGTCAACTGACTGAACTCCCTACGAACTCCCAGTTGAGGGGACAATTTGCATACTACACCTTAATGATATAGGATACGTGTGTCGCAATAATGTACTTTGGCCCAGGTAATATTCTAAATTCTGCAAATAGAGCTGCAACCAAGTAAAACAAGATTCCTCAGAGCTCACATTCCAGTGGAGGAAACAGATTATAAAGTCTCCCGTGGACCTTGAGCTCTATGAAGGCTCAGTTTATTTGTCTTCTTGAAGCCTAATCAGGGCCTGGCATGTGGAAGTACTTAATAAAGGCTTGTTTGATAAATAATAGAGAACCAACCTGGAGTTGGGACAAGGACTGGGTAGGAGCTGGTGAGGGCATGGTGGATAAAGCCCAAAGTAAACAATCAGGAAGTCAAGCATCTAGATCCAGACCAGGTCCCGTGGGGATAGACTAGAGAACTTAGAAGTGGGTGTCCTGTGCTTGAACTTTATAGGTAAGATTTATGGAGCAATTGTGGTCAGCTTTCCCATTCACAGTGTTTACACGTACATTATCATTTAATCCTGGCAAAGTACCTATTATTATCCTCAATTTGCAGTGGAAGGAATCCAAGCCCAGAGTTATCTTAGGACCCACGTGATTGCTCAGTGTGGGAGCTGGTTCTGACCCTTCCGGATACCCAGGCTGCCTCTTCCTACAACCTGATCCTAGAAGGAAGGGAAATACAGAGACCTGTCACGGCCACGGAACTTCCCAAATCCTCTTAATCTGGTTTCTCACTCCTGAGGTGCTGCCCTCTGGGGCAAAGGACAGGGTAAGGGGCCTTCGGTTAATGATTAAACCTTGCATCTCAGTGCACCGCGGGCTTCTCTTCCTTCTCGGAGGCGGAGGGATAAGGACTGGGTGGGAGCCGGCGAGGGGTGGTGGTCCCGGCAGCATCCATGGGGGTCGTGCCGCTTCCACAGGTCTCCAGGCGCTGGCTCCGCTATACAATTGCTCTTGCCATTTTCGCGCTGCTGCTTTTGTATCTCTATCACCGGAGCCTGCGTGAGTGGCCTCTTCCCCCACCTCCTCTGGCAGGGACCCAGGAAACCAGGTCCAGGGCACCTAAGGCCCCTCTTGGAGTCCTCACCGCCCCGCCTTGTCTCTCCCCAGGCGGCCTCTCGGGCTGCGGATCCGGGGCCCAGCCCTGCGTTTCGGAGGGACCCCCACCTTCTCAGGTACGCTTGGGGCAAAGCTGGGACCGGGAGCCCCAAGTAGGACCCTGAACCGGGGGAAGGTGGAGCCCAGGCTGGCTGACTCCCTGCCGAAAAGCGGGTCTTCCTTCCCGTACCCCCTCCCCCTGACAGAAGCGAAGCGCACAGCAGGAGGGACACCGGCTAGACCTTAGGAGTGACTTCCTCAGAGCCCCACTGGGCTGCTTGGCGAAGGATGCCTAACAGGCTAGGGGTTCTGCTCCCGCCCCTCCTCCTCCTCCCCATATCTACTCCCCCCAGATCCTGCAACAGTGGGGAGCCCCGGAGGCCCCGGAGCCAGGAGAGCCTCCGTGCCTGGGCCCCCGGGGGATGCTGGGCCGCCTGGTGAGGCCGTTCCGCGCCAGCCTGAGCCTGGACGGGGATGTGGAGCTGTCGCAGTACCTGGTCGGATGGAGGGAGCTGATCAAGTGAGTGGCCTACCTCCCCTAAACCCAGTCCCCGCCCTCGGTGGCTCCATCGCCCTCTCTCTAACCAGCCCGCTCTCCCCACCACCAAACCACACAGATTCCTAACTCCCTTCGGCTCCATCTTCACCTTCGCCACCAGCGAGGCCTTCACCAAAGTGACCGCCCTGGAAGCTCGCGTGCACGGCCCGGAGGCCGCGCACTACAAGTCGCTGGTGACCATGGCCGCGTGGGAGCGGCGGGCGGGGCGGCTGGAGAGGCCCGGGGCCGCCCCCCCGGACTCGGCCAGGTCCTCGGGCTCCCGGACGGCGCTGCTGCTGCACCGCGCGCTGCGCTGGTCGCAGCTCTGCCTCCGGCGGGTGGCCACCGGGGCGCACCGCGGCCCGAGCGCCGGCGAGCAGTGCAGCGACGCCTACAGCGCCGTCCTGGGCCCGCACCACCCCTGGCTGGTGCGCCAGGCCGCCCGCCTCGCCTTCCTCTCCTTCCCGGGCCGCGGCCGCCTGCTGGAGCTGGCCTGCCCACGGACCACGGAGGCGGAGGCGCGCGCCGCGTTGGCTCGCGCGGCGGCCACCCTGGAGGAGGTCTACAACCGGACGCAGGGTTTGCTGGCCGAGCGCGGCCTGCTGCAGCTGGCCTAAGGGACCAGCTGGGGCAGAGCGCGCCCTGGGGCGGGATCCGCGCAGCACTTGGCTCGGGGTCCAGGCCCCTGGAGCTCGGCTGCCTGGGCGGGGCGCCTGATGTCCCGCCTCTTCGGTGAGGTCACTCCCGTGCAGGCGCGCCCCGGGTTGGGTGGGATTTTTTTTTTTATCTCCTCCTCGTCGCTATCTCAGCCACTCCTAGGGCCGGCCTTGTCAACTGCATGCCGAGTCTCCAGCCCCCATAAAGCCAGATATTTCTCAAATGCCCGCATGTGCAACACGTCCGTCTGGGATCCAATCGCCTCCTCCCAGGACTTCACCTCCTGTGTTCCTTGTCTCTATGAAGAAACGGCACCCTTTCCTGTCAACCTCCTAAGCCTAAAACCTCACGCCAGGCAGAAGCTCAGCGCAATATACATCTTTATTAAATGGCGTTGGCTGCTCCCACAATGAGAGTGAACATTTCATACGCTGATAACTCCAACCAGTTTACCCTAGATGCCAGAATCCTAACTATACACCTCCTTATTCGACATCTCCGTTTGGATTCCAACTACACATAGCAAACTTAGATGCCTAAAACTATGCTAATTCCCTCTCCTCCCAAAGTACCCTCTTTTAGCCTTTGCTATCTCAGTAAATGACAATTCCATTTTTCCAGGCCCTTAAACCAAAAACCTTGTAGTCATCCTGACTCTCTGTTTCTTGTTCTCTGTCCCCACATTCAATTTGTCAGAACCTGACTACTTTCCACTTTCTTCACTGCTTGTCAAGCCAATTTTATTACCTCTATTGTTGCAATTGTCTCCTAATTGTCTCTCTGTTCCATACTATATCTCCCTATAAAATATGTTCAATAGAGCAGCCAAAATGATTATTTAAAATGTAGTTCACATCATGTCACTTCCCTGCTCAAAACCTTCCAATAGCTTCCTATTGCACTCCAACTAAAAAACTTAATTTAGTCCTAGTTGGTTTGGCTCAGTGGACAGGGCGTCAGTCTGCAGACTGAAGGGTCCCAGATTTGATTTAGGTCAAGAGCACATGCCCAGGTTACCGGCTCGACCTCCGGTAGGGGGTGTGCAAGAATCGGCTGATCAATGATTCTCTCTCATCATTGGCGTTTCTTTCTCTCCCTTTCCCTTCCTCTCTGAAATCGGTAAAAATATATTTTAAAAAAATTAATTTAATCAGGAAATTTTCTGTATCATGTTTTCAGTTTTGAGAATGATAAAAAGCTTTGTAAACACCCTACCTGATTTGAATCTGCATTAGCCAATTTGACCTCAATATTCACTGGACATGTCAGGTTTTTTTTTGTTTGTTTGTTTTTTTAAATATATATTTTATTGATTTTGTACAGAGAGGAAGAGAGAGAGATAGAGAGCTAGAAACGTCGATGAGAGAGAAACATCAACCAGCTGCCTCTTGCACACCCCCCACCGGGGATGTGCCCGCAACCAAGGTACATGCCCTTGACCGGAATCGAACCTGGGACCTTTCAGTCCCCAGACCAATGCTCTACCACTGAGCCAAACCGGTTTTGGCTGGACATGTCAGTTTTGATCCTGTCTCAGAACCTTTGCACTTGCTCTCCCCTCTGTCCATACTGTTTTCCCCCAAATAGACCAATGTCTTCCCTCTTTACTTCCTTCAGATCTTTATTCAAATGTCTCCTCAGTGAGATCTTCCTGATTATTCTAAAATGCCAAAACACACACACTTCCCAACTTCCTTGCTTTATTTTTATTCTTACTCAATTGGCTCTTTAACATACTATATATTGTAACTATTTTTTGTTGTCCCCCTCAATGTATATAAGCTCCATGGGGCTAGAAATTTCTGTCTATTTTGTCCCCTGAAGTACCTTCAGTGCCTCACACAGTGCCTGGCACCTAGTAAACACAATGGTTTCTTGTTGAATGAATGTATGAGCACTAAAAATATAATAGTTCAGGTGGCTGGAGCCAAGAGAGTCGAAAAGAAAAGGAGGGGGTTCCACAACAATGTGAATGTACTTGATATCACTAGATTGTACACCAAAAATGGTTAAAATGCTATCTTTTATGTTGTTATTTATATTTTACTACAATAAAAAAAATTTTACAGTAGCCTGGCTGGTGTGGCTCAGTGGTTGAGTGTTGACCTATGAACCAGGAGGTCATGGCTCAATTCTGGGCGCATGCCTGGGTTTCAGGCTTGATTTTCAATGATTCTCTCTCATCACTGATGTTTCTATCTCTCCCTCTCCTTTCCTCTCTCTGAAATTAATAAAAACACATTTTTAAAAGTATATAAAAAAAGAATTGACCATAAATGCATAGATAAGAGAACAAATTGATCATCTCTCTCTCCCTACTGCCTCCCACTCTCCCTTCCTCTCTCTCTCAAATCAATAAATAAAAATTAAAAGAAAAAAAGTAATTTGAAAATATTAAGAGAATTAACAAAACTTTAGCTAGACTGCAGAAACCAGTTTGGCTCAGTGGTAGAGCATCGGTCTGTGGACTGAAAGGTCCCAGGTTCGATTCCGGTCAAGGGCATGTACGTTGGTTGCGGGCACATCCCCGGTGGGGGGTGTGCAGGAGGTGGCTGGTCGATGTTTCTCTCTCATCGACGTTTCTGGCTCTCTATCTTTCTCCCTTCCTCTCTGTAGAAAATCAATAAAATATTTATATTTTTAAAAACTTTAGCTAGACTGACAAATAAAAAAAGAGGGAAGACAAATTATTAAAATCAATAATGAAAGAGAACATTACTACAAATTTTACAGAAATAAAAGGGATTATAAGGGAATACTATAAATCATTGTAGACTAATAAATTAGATAACCTAACAGAAATGGACAAATTCATAGAAAGACATAAAGTACCAAAATGGACTGAAAAGTAAATAGAGCCCTAGCCAGTTTGACTCAGTGGGTAGGGTGTCAGCCTTCGGATTGAAGGGACCCAGGTTCTATTCTGGTCAAGGGCACATGCCTGGATTGTGGACTTGATCCCCAGTAGGGGGCATGCTGGAGGCAGCTGATAAATGATTCTCTCTCATCATTGATATTTCTCTCTCTCCCTCTTCCTTTCTATCTGAAATCAATAAAAAACTAATAAAGAGTGAGAATGTATTAATAAAAAAGTAAATAGAAACTCTGACTAGTCCTATAACAAAGAGATTGAATTAGTAATAAAAATTTCCTACAGCTCTAGCTGGGTTGGCTCAGTGGATAGAGCGTTGACCTGCAGACTGAAGGGTCCCAGGTTCGTTTCTGGCCAAGGGCACATGCCCTGGTTGCGGGCTCGATCCCCAGGGTGGGATATGCAGGAGGCAGCTAGTCAATGATTCTCTCTTATCATTGATGTTTCTATCTCTCCCTCTCCTTTCCTCTCTGAAAACAATAAAGAAATATATATATTTTTAAAGTGAAAAGATAACCCATAGAATGGGAGAAAATATTGTATTAGCAGATCATGTATCTGATATAGGACTAGCATCTACAATATCAAAAACACTCTTACAAACTCAACAAAAGATAACCCAATTTTAGCCCTGACCGGTTTGGCTTACTGGATAGAACATTGGCCTGCAGACTCAAGGATCCAGGGTCCGATTCTGGTCAAGGGCACATACCTTGGTTGTGGGCACATTCCCAGTGGGGAGTGTGCAGGAGGCAGCTGATTGATGTTTCTCTCTCATCGATGTTTCTAACTCTCTATCCCTTTCTCTTCCTCTCTGTAAAAAAAATCAATAAAATATAGTATTTTAAAAAAAGATAACCCAATTTTAAAATGGGCAAAGGAATTCTTCAATAGACATTCCTCCAAAGAAGATAAATAAACAGACAATTAGTATATGAAAATAGGCTCAACATCACTAATCATTAGGGAAATACAAAAACAACACCACCCCACAAGATACCAATTCACACCATCTAGGATGGCTAAAGTAAAAACACACAATAACAATTACTGAGGATGTAGAGAAATTGGAACCCTGTTATGTGGCTAGTGGGGATGTAAAATGGGACAAGCTGCCATAACCGGTTTAGCTCAGTGGATAAAGCCTCGGCCTGCGGACTGAAGGGTCCCAGGTTTAAATCCAGTCAGGGGCAGGTACTTTGGCTGCCGGCACATCACCAATGGAGGGATGTGCAGGGGGTAGCTGATTGATGTTTCTCTCTCATCTATGTTTCTAACTCTCACTCTCCCTTCCTCTCTGTAAAAAAAAATCAAATAAAAAAATGGGACAGCTATTGTGAAAAATAATTGTCAGTTCCTCAGAATGTTAAACAGTTAGCAATTCCACGCCTGGTTCTGTATATACTGCTAGGTATATACATACCTAAAAGAAATGAAAACATAGTGTGCTGTCTGGAAGTCAGAGGCTCAAGTCTGTCTTGAAGACTTTTTGAATTGCAGTTCCAATCAGATATTATCAGTACTGCACAATCCAATAGGAAGTATAGCCTTGCAGACTGTTTTTTGTGTTTTGTTTTGTTGTTGTTTTTTTTTGGGGGGGGGTGAGAGGAGTATTTTTGTTTGCTTACTTTGCCACGCTGCCATCAAGCATTCACTGTCGCAAAAAAAAAAAAAAAAAAAAAGCCCTTACACATTTCCCTTCTGCCGTCAACCGCGGCCCCGCTGCGCTCCCAGAAGGCCTCAGAGCACGACAGAAGGGAGTGACAGAGCGCTTTACGACAGTTGCTTTGCGGCAGCACCAGAGGAGAAAGATGGCGGCCACCTTAGTAGCGAGAGGAGCGGGTCCCGCACCCGCCTGGGGGCCGGAGGCCATTACCCCCGACTGGGAAAACCGGGAAGTCTCCACAGGGGTGAGGAGGGACTCGGGGTTCAGGGGGTGCGCGCGAGTCTCAGTGCGATGGGAGGACAGGCCTGAGAGCGCTGGGAGAACTGGGGGGCGGGGGTGGGAGGTGGGCTGGGATGTGCCGTAGGCCGAGGGAGAGGTATCCCGAGGATGCGTTATGGTAGGATGTGGAAGGCAGGCAGAAGTGTGGAATTCTGGAATCTTGCTCGACACAGGCTTATGGCTGGGATGAGCCTGGGGGAGGGGAGGGAGGATTTGAGGATTGGAATCCTGGTATTTTGCGGGTTGTTGAGGCCCCTCTGAGATTTGACAACGGGCTCCTAGTACTCTAGGGGCTGGATAGAGGGATCATTGTTTTCTTGTGCTGGAGAACGTGAATAGGCCCAGACTCATCCCTTTCTCTTTTTTCCCAGACCACTATCATGGCCGTTCAGTTCGACGGGGGCGTGGTTCTGGGGGCCGATTCCCGAACAACCACTGGGTAAGCTCTTCCTATCTTTCCCTTCCTTCCATGCCTGCCAGCCCATCCTTACCCTCCACAGACAGCTGTGGGAGGGAGGATTCTCCCCTCCCTGGAGATAAGGATTTGTTCCAGCTTCTACAACTCACCCGTAGATGAAATTCTTGTAGAAGTCTCTTCTCCAGACTGCTTCAGTTTGGATGAGAATAGGAACTAGAGGAAGTCCTATTCCTGAGGCCAGAAGGAGTAGATAATGGGAGGGAGGTGGGAGACCAGTAGGGTCCTTTCCCTCACTCTCCTGTCATTCTGCAGGTCCTACATTGCCAATCGAGTGACTGACAAGCTAACCCCCATTCATGATCGAATCTTCTGCTGCCGCTCCGGCTCTGCAGCGGATACCCAGGCTGTAGCTGATGCTGTTACCTATCAGCTTGGTTTCCACAGGTGCTTGTAGGCCGGGAAGAAACAAGTATATGAAGGGACCTGGGAGGGTCTTGACTTCTAGGTCCTGATGATGCCTTCCCTTTGACTTCTAGCATTGAGCTGAATGAGCCTCCTCTGGTACACACTGCAGCCAGCCTCTTTAAGGAAATGTGTTACCGATACCGGGAAGACCTGATGGCAGGAATCATCGTTGCAGGCTGGGACTCCCAAGAAGGAGGGCAGGTCAGATACTCCCCACCCCTGGAATCTTGGGGCCATGACTTTGATCTTCTCCCCACCCCAGCCATTTTCTGTTTCCAACCTCTACCTCACTATTAACTCTTTCTAGATCAATTCCACAATGGACAGGTGAATGCACATGTGTTGTGAGGAGGGTACAACTGATGACTCTTTTCCTCCCTCCACCTGGCAGGTGTACTCGGTGCCCATGGGGGGGATGATGGTAAGACAATCCTTTGCCATTGGAGGTTCTGGAAGCTCCTATATTTATGGCTATGTCGATGCTACCTACCGGGAAGGTATGACCAAGGAAGAGTGTCTGCAATTCACTGCCAATGGTGAGAATTTGGGTTTCTGGGCCTATGAGCTTTAACCCCCATACCCAAGCCAGTCCAATTTTCATCATTCCTTGCAGTGTTCCCAGCATCCAACTCTGACCCCCAACTTTTTTTTTTTTAATCCACAGCTCTCGCTTTGGCCATGGAGAGGGATGGCTCCAGTGGTGGGGTGATCCGTCTGGCATCCATATCAGAATCAGGGGTAGAGCGGCAGGTACTCTTGGGAGACCAGATCCCCAAATTCTCCATTGCCACTTTACCACCTCCCTGAATCCTGGGATTCTAGGATACAATAAGAGACATCCCCTGCTGACCCAAAATTCAATAAACAGTTTGTCAAAGAGTCTGTGTGCTTTGGGGTTCTTTTTTTTTTACTTCAGTCCAAACTTGTCTGGTCCACTACAGTTTGTACAGACCACTGCCCTAGCTCTGGGGCCATTGGAGTGGAGACTTTACAGGAGTGGTTTTCAAACTCTTCAGGCCACTTTCCCCCCACATTTCCTTTCCTCTAGTACAGTGTTTCCCAAAGTGGTACGCGTACCCCCAGGGGGACGGGAAGAGTTTGGTGGGGGTACGCGTTGCACCGGAGTTTGTTGGGGATATGCACTGCACCGTGCTTAGCTGCGCCTAATTCTACGTTCTCATGAGTACGAGGGGTACTCAACGTTACGAAAATTATAGAATGTGCACATATGTCAAAAGTTCGGGAAACATTGCTAGTAGGTCCAGGTCCTTGTGACACCAGACTAGTTTATGTGGAACTACCACATAATAGAAATGGTCCTATTCCCATCCCTGTTCAAGTCCGAGGTAGAACTCAGTATTCTGACGGAGACAGGTCTCCTCCCCTTAGCCTGCCTCCTGCCTGTCATCATGGGAGGCTACTGGCTCTAAGGCCAGAAGGACTCCAGGTCTCCTCTGACTCAGGCTCATGGTCCCCTCTTTCCAAACGCACCTCTGTCACCTCATCTTGTCAGAAGCTCCAGTTGCAAACACCTTTCTCATAAAGGTGTTTGCAACTGGAGCTTCAGATGGACATTGGGTGGGAGAGGGCAGCCACAGAGAGTGCGGTGGGCCAGTTCTGGAAGCCACCATTCCCATGGGGAGTGTAGTGATAAGTCAGCCTTCAGCCCCTGAGATGGGAGGCAGAGACTGGACTCTGACCCTTCCATTGCTGTCTCCACTCAAGCCAGGGCCCTAAGTAAATGAAGTGGTGTTCACCAAGAGTGACCAGCATTCTTTTTTTAAAAATATATATTTTGTTGATTTTTTACAGAGAGGAAGAGAGGGGGATAGAGAGAAACATCGATGAGAGAGAATCATCGATCAGCTGCCTCTTGCACACCCCCTACTGGGGATGTGCCTGCAACCAAGGTATATGCCCTTGACCGGAATTGAACCTGGGACCTTTCAGACCGCAGGCCACCACTCTGTCCACTGAGCCAAACTGGTTTCAGTGTGACCAGCATTCTTAATCCTGCCCCAATCTTTTCTCCCCACTATGGGTCAGGGAACTGTATAAGCTACATTTGAAAACTTTGCTCTAGAATATAATCCTGCCCTGTAGAGGGATAGTATCTGATGAAGTGAAAAAGAGCAGAAAAGGACCTCTGTCCTCAAACTTGCGTACATCAAACTTAAAATAATCAATAGAGCACTTCTGATTTTCCTGCAAAACCTGTTCTGGTCCTCCCTGCCTTAGGGCATCTTTGATTCAATCTTTCCCTTTTACTCCACATTCAGTCTAACAGTAAGTCCTAAAACTCTCCAAAAGTACGTCTGGAATCCGTCTACTTCTCACTGCACTGGCTTGAGCCAAGCCACCTTCATCTTTTTAAAAATATATATATTTTATTGATTTTGTACAGAGAGGAAGGGAGAGAGAGAATTAGAAACATCGATGAGAGAGAGTCATCCATCAGCTGCCTCTTTGCACACCCCCTACTGGGGATATGCCCGCAACCAAGGTACATGTCCTTGACCGGAATCGAACCCAGGACCTTTCAGTCCCCAAGCTGAAGCTCTATCCATTGAGCCAAGCCGGTTTCGGCACACCTTCATCTCTTGCCTGGAGGATGGCAACACCCTCTCCTACATGGCCTTACCGCTTCCATACTTGTCTTCTCCAATCTTTTCCACATACAGCAACCAAAGAGATCATTCAATGTAAGTGAAATCACATTGTTTCCCTGCTTACCATTCTTCAGTGGCTTACCATTCCATCTAGAATACGATCTTAACATCTTACCATGGCCTACAAGACTCAGCAGTCCCCCTCAATCTTGCCACTCCAGTCACTGGCTTTTCCCCCTAGAACCTAAGAGGTTTTACACTTAATAGTTCCTGATGGTTTTTGTTGTTGTGGTTGTTGTTGGTTTGCCTGGGACTACTCTTTGCTGATTTAAAAATATATATATATTATTTTTTTAGAGCAGTTTTAGGTCCACAACAAAATTGATCAGAAAATAGAGATTTACCGTACACCTTCCTGCCTCTGACATGCATAGAATCTCCCACTATCGGCATCCTGCACTGAGTGGTACACTTTTTAGATGATGAGCTTACATTGACACATCATTCATGTCTCAGCTCTGAATGGCACCTTATCAGGCCTTTCCTAACCACCTGCAATTTAAGAAACAGCATCCCCCTCACACTTTCATATTACCCTGTTTAATTTTCTTCATAGCAGCAGTTATTGCTATCTCATCATGTTTCCTTGTTTACTTATTGTCTACCTCCTCTGGTAGAAAGTAAGGACAGTGAGAAGAGAGAATTCTTTCTGCTTGCTCACTGACTTATCCTCAGTGCCTCGTAGAGAGTGGACATCTGATAGACACTGAATGAACATGTCAGCCCTATCTGCTGTCCTGCCTAGCCCCCAACCTCTCCAAATGCTCTCTCCACACTCAACTCTGCAGTTTGATTTCAGCAAACTTCTAGCTAGCCACATCAGGGCTCTTCATTAGATCAGCTACATCAGGTTCATTAATCCTATGTCCCCACTCCCACCCAATTCTGCACTTCCCACCTCAGCCCCCTAACCAGGTCTCCTCATCTACTCTTCCACCCCAACATACGTGCACATACACAGAACACTTGGCAACTCTGAATATGTTTAATGAGAAGATCATGGGGGAGCCAGAAACTGGAATCACTGAGAAGGGGAGTGGGGGAAGAGGAAGGTTGCCAAGGCTTCCTAGAAGTTCAGCCCCTGGTTGTCCCCTTCAAATGGTAGAGTCATTGGCTGATGCTCTGTCGTGCAGCTGGTGGCGGAAGGAGAGTCGGGCTTTCCTGCTGAAGTAGGCACTAGACCCTAGGGAAGGCATCCCTCCCTCAGCCATGATGGGGGCTGTCACTGGGCTGGGATCTGGATCTGGAGGGGCAGCTGGATCCAGACCTAAACGAGAGATTGAAAGAAGAAGGGAATTGTGAGTCTGGGTCCTCCTTTACCCCCACACCACCAGCCTCTGAGGTGGAAGGCCAGGGAAGACCTCTGAGGGTCCTGGGTGAAGGAGAGAGGAGTCCTTAAGAGAGCAGGCCTGTGCAGTTGCAAAGGACCCCACACTCAGAAGGGCACCCATGCTGGGTGTACTGCTCTGCTCTCATCATCTTGAAATTCTTAATCATTTTTTAATATAGGGCCCCCCTTCTGCATTTTGCATAGGGCCCTGCAAAGTATCTAGCCAGCTCTGTGAAGTCAAAGACCCACCTCCCATCCAGGGAAACAAACTAGCCTTTTCCCTTCCCCGGGTTAAGCACTTCCCTTTCTCCCAGTGCCAGTTTATATCTTCCTAATGCCCCCCTTTTCCCTCAGTCTCCCCATACCTGCTCCTCTTTCCGTCCCTCGCTGTCTCCGGCACACACACCATGGGAAACACCCTGCCCCCTTGAGACCCATCTCAACAATGGAGGAGACCAGGGTGTTGGGAATGGCCAGGAGGGCCCCAGGAGAAGGGGTGTGGTTTCCAAGCCCCACTGTGGGCAAAACTACCACTTAGCCTCAGACCGCCTGGTGATTAGAGGCGCCAGGAGATAGAAGGGGGAGAAGAGGGTGGAAGGAAGGGGTGGAGGGATACCCCACTCAAAACACCTGTCCTTTTTGTGCCCTCTTAATTTGGGGGCTCTCTGGAACCAGCAGCAGGAGACTGAGACGGGTGGCATGGCAGAGACACGCAGAGGGGCTGGGGCACACAGGTGCAGTGAAAAGTCACTACAGCTATGCTGGACCTCTGGGTGCCAGCCTGTACACTGCTGGGGACTCATTTGTATTTTCAAGTGAGAATTCCCAAGATGTAAAAATTTAAAGAATAGTTCTTTAAAAAAAAAATTTTTTTTTAGAACAGGAAACTTGACCAGTCAGGGAAATATATTTTTTAAAAATATATATTTTATTGATTTTCCACAGAGAGGAGGGGAGAGAGAGAGAGAGCTAGAAACATCAATGAGAGAGAAACATTGACCAGCTGCCTCCTGCACACCTACCACCGGGGATGTGCCTGCAACCAATGTACATGCCCTTGACCGGAATTGAACCTGGGACCCTTCAGTCTGCAGATCAACGCTCTCTCCAAATGAGCCAAACCGGTTTCAGCCAGTCAGGAAACTATTATGTTCTCATTAAATGATACAGTAGCTCTTGTCCCCTTTTATGAAGATAATTAGTTGTAATTGATTAATTAGGCTGTGCCAGGTAGATCCTAGGGACTTGCACGTGTTATCTTATTTCTATTCTGTCAGTGTTCCTTTGAGGCAAGTGTTATTACTATCTGATGTAGAGGTGATGAATCGGGGCCGCTAAGAGACTAGGTAACGTGCCCAGGGCACACAGGCAGTTACCAGCAGGGCGGGAACTACCCCCACTCCCATCAGTCTGACTCCGGAGTCCACTCTGCTTGCCACCACACAGCCTCCCAAGCATGTCCCTGGCAGGCTTTGATGCCCTCAGGCAGGCAGGGAAGGTGCCCAGAGCCTGGGCTGGGAGCCTCAGGTCCACCTAGACAAGGATTCTAAATGCCCTTTAGTAAAGCTGCACTAGATTATTCCCTAAGGTGAGAAGGGTTGGGAGGCACTGCTGACTCTATTGCCTGACTTAGACAGAAATCTGTTTTTTGTTTTTAAATTAACTTTATTTATTGAAGTAAAAATTTACACATAATTTAATACATATCCCAGTGTACAGTTCTATGAGTTTTGACAAGTATATACACCCATGTAATCACACCAATCAAGATCCAGGACATTTGTATCCCAGAGTTCCCTTACATGTCTCTTCACAGTCAGTCTTTTCCCCACCCCTGCCACAGGCAACCACTGATCTGACTTCCAGCACTGCAGATTGGCTTGGCCTCTTTCAGAACTTTATATAAATGGCAGCATATAGTATTACTCTTTCGTGTCTGACTTCTCTCAGCATAATGGTTTTGAAATTCACTCATGTTTCATGCATTAACAGTTTATTTATTTTTTGTATCAGTGGCTTTATTAGGAGATGATTCACACATCATGAAATTCACCCTTTTTAACCTTTTGTCCAACATCTTAGCAAGGCTGCAGGGGTAGCAGCTGCTCTATGAGCTTCCCTAGGCTGCCAAAGAGGACAAGAAGAAGAAAAATGCCAGAAAGTCAGCCAAGAAAGACAAAGACCCAGTGAACAAATCTGGGGGCAAGGCCAAAAAGAAGTGACCCAAAGAGAAAGTTTGGGACAAGCTCAATAGCCTAGCTTCATTTGACAAAGCAACGTATGACAAACTCTGTAAGGAAGTTTCCAACAATAAGCTTATAACCTTGACGGTTGTCAGGACAGCCCTAGGAGCTCCTTAGGAAAGGACTTACTAAATTAGTTCCCAAGCACAGAGCTCAAGTCATGTAGAAACACGAAGGGTGGGGACGCCCCAGCTGCTGGTGAAGATGCATGAACAACAGGTCCCACCAGCTGTACATTTTGAAAAATAAAACTTTATTAAATTAAAAATCACCCTTTTGCCGAAACCGGTTTGGCTCAGTGGTAGAGCATTGGACTGGGGACTGAAAGGTCCTGGGTTTGATTCTGGTCAAGGGCATGAACCTTGGTTGCGGGCACATCCCCAGTAGGGGGTATGCAAGAGGCAGCTGATCGATGAGTCTCTCTCATTGATGTCTCTAACTCTCTATCTCTCTCCCTTCCTCTCTGTACAAAACCAAAAAATATATATATTTTATTGATTTATTTTATTGATTGAGCCAAACCGGTTTCGGCAATATAATATATATTTTTAAAAATCACCCTTTTAAAGTGTACAATCCAGTGGTTTTAGTGTAGTCACAACCAATTTTCATACCCTCAAAAGAAACTGTACTTATTAGCAGTCACTCCCCTATCCTACCCCCAGCTATGGGCAACCCACTTATCTACTTTCTATGGGTTTATTATTCTGGACATTTCATGCAAAAGAAATCACACAAAATGTGGTTCTTTTGTGTCTGGTTTACTTCACTTAGCATGTTTCAAGGTTCATCCATGTTGTAGCGTACCAGGACACCATTCTTTTTTATGGCTGGATAAAATCCTACTGTAGTTGATGGACATTTGGGTTGTTTCTAGTTTTGGGTTATTTGAGTAATACTACCATGTACATTCATATACAAGTTTTTGTGTGGACATGTTTTCAGTTCCCTTGGGTATATATCTAGGAGTGGCATTGCTAGGCCATATGATAACTCTATGCTTCACAGTTTGAGGAACTTTTCCAAGGTGACTGCACTATTTTATATTTTATTCTCTTTTATTGCTAAATAATATAGTCTATATACTACCAATTAATCAAAATAAAAATTGTGCTCTTTAAAAAGCACTATTATTTTATTTAAAATTTTTAGACTGATTAAAATATATATATATATATATTACTGATTTTTTACAGAGAGGAAGAGAGAGGGATAGAGAGTTAGAAACATCGATGAGAGTCATCGATCAGCTGCCTCTTGCACACCCTGCAAAAGGTGCGCGCAACCAAGGTATATGCCCTTGACCTGAATCAAACCTGGGATCTTTCAGTCTGCAGGCCCACGCTCTATCCACTGAGCCAAACCGGTTTCGGTTTTTTTTGTTTTGTTTTTTTTTTTTTTAGAGAGAGAGAGCAGAAGGGAGAAAAACATTGATTTATGCATTCATTGGTTGATTCCTGTATGTGCCCAGACTGTGGAATGGAACCAGCAACCTTAAAAGGCACCATTATTTTAAAAGGACAAGCCACATTCTGGGGGGAAATATTTGCAATACATAAATCTGATGGAGGATTTGTATCCGAATATATATCTAGAACTCCTACAATTAAATAATAAGGCAAATAACGTGGCTTTAAAAAGACTCAGTGAAGACTTAACACTTTACAAAATATCTACAAATGGCCAATACGCACATGAAATATGGTCAACATCATCAATCCTCAGAGAAATACAAATAAAACTACAGCCACGTATGACTTTACCTATTAGAATGGCTACCCCTGCAAAGATTGGCAGTACCAAACGCTGGCCGCGTGTGGAGCAACTGAAAATGTAAGATGAAACGACTGTTTTGGAGAACAGCTTGGCAGTATCCTACAAGGTTAAAGCACAGTTATTATATGACCCAGCAGCTCCACTCCTAGCTATTTACCCAAGAGAAAGGAAAACATGTATCTACACACACTTACACAGGCATGTTAGAGGACCTTTATTCACAACAGATAAAAAAACAAACAAACAAACAAACAAAAAACTATTGTAGAAACAACCCAAAATCTCCATCCAAAGAAGAGATCGAGAAATCTGCTTTAGGGTGTTTTGAACTAGTCTGTCCTTTAGAACCTGAACATGTTCCTGCCTCCTCCCACGCTGGAAGTTCCAGGACAGCAGCTCCCGCGACTGCCTGGTTCGGGGCGAGCGCTCGAGTGCTGCCGAATGAATGAACGAATGCAAGCTTGCGCACATTGATTTGTGGCCACCCTCCCTCGGACCTTTTATCATCCCTCCCATCTACAGACGCCCGGCCGGGAGGTATCCGGTGTGGCTCCCTGCCCGCCCGGGAAGGAACACCCGCAGGTCCCCACCGAGAGGCAGGCGCGTCTCCGTCGGGGCCGGAAAGCGCCCGGGGGCCGCGCCAAGGGGAGGTGCGGGGCGCGCCGCGCCCAGCGCCCACGGGGCGGCAGCAGGCACACCCGGACCGACGGCGCGGGACGGACGGACGGACAGGCCGGCGGACGGCGCCCGCCCGCCGCCCGGATCCCCGCGGAGCAGAGGAGGATCCCCTCCCCAACCCACCCCGCCCCCCGGCCCAGGGCGGGGCGCTGGACGGCAGGGGCGGGCCGGACCCGACGAGAATCGCGCGGAGGTGAGGCGGGGGCCGCCCTGCCCCCGAGGGCAGGCCCCGAGCACCGCGCGGCCCGGGGTGGCTGGGGTGTGGGCTCCCGCTCCGGATCAGCCCTGCTCCGTCTGCTCCAGACCCCGCGGCGGCGCTGGCTCGGGCTGCCCGGGTAAGGGGTCCGGGGAGGGCAGCGCGGAGGACCGGGGCCCAGGAAGTCGGGCGGGGTCCGGCTTGAGCCCGGGCTTCGGCGGAGCCTCCTGACTCAGCCGCACTCTCAGATTTTGGGGTTTCCCTGCCAGGCGGAGAGCGCGCGTAACTTCCTCTTCCCCGAAGGGATTCCCCTCTCCCAGCCGGGCTGGCCTAGCCCGAGTCTCCCCCCCCCCCCCCCCCCCCCCCCCCCGGCTCCCTGGCCCCTGCACTGCCCCTCTCCTTGGCCTCTGCTCTGCCCCTCTCCCTGGCCTCTGCTCTGCCCCTCTCCTTGGCCTCTGCTCTGCCCCTCTCCCTGGCCTCTGCTCTGCCCCTCTCCCTGGCTTCTGCCCTGCCCCAGTTCAGCGATTTGGGGCCTGATGGGTGTTGCTGGCTGCGCGCCCTGCGCACAGAACAGGAGGCGGGACCCAGGGGTTCTGGACGGAGGCCTGGGCTCGGGGATGGATGTTGGAGGCGGGTTGGAGGGGTTTTGCAGACGATGAGGCCACAGCCACAATCGGGCAGATTGGAGTTATGGGAAACGAGGCGGGCGGGTGGGTAAGAAGGAGGGGGTGGGGGGAGGGGGGAGAAGATCTGTGGGAAATGGTGAAGCTTGGGGTCTGAGGTTTCCCCCTATTCCTAGGATGGCGGCTAGCCCAGAGAGCCTCTTCCCTTCCGGGGGCGACCTGGACTCCAGCCAGTTGCAGATGGAGCCGGATGAGGTGGACACTCTGAGGGAGGGAGAGGACCCAGGTACACAGGGAGTATGGCGCTCAGGGAGAGGAGGGGGAGGGGGCTGAGACCCTCCCGGGGTCTACACGCTTCCACTTTCTCGCCTCCCAGCTGATCGGATGCACCCCTTTCTGGCCATCTATGACCTTCAGCCTCTGAAAATGCACCCCTTGGTGTTTGCCCCTGGGGTTCCTGTCACAGCCCACGTGGTGGGCACTGAAAGATATACCAGTGGATCCAAGGTAGCTGGGCTGGGACCAAAGGGTGCGGGGGAGGGAGGGCTAAGGGGCACCGGCCGGAGTTGGGGGTTGCAACCCAACCAGGGAATAGCCATTCAGTTCCTCACACCCCCAGGTGGGAACCTGCACTCTGTATTCCGTCCGCTTGACTCACGGAGACTTTACCTGGACGACCAAGAAGAAGTTTCGCCATTTCCAGGAGCTACATCGGGACCTCCTGAGACACAAAGTCTTGATGAGTCTGCTCCCCCTGGCTCGGTGAGGGAGGACCAGACTGCTTCCTGTGAAGGGCAGGCCCACGTCCCGGCCCCAATTCCCATCAGTCCTTCTGCCTAGTCTCACCTCCAGACCCCAACTTCTCCCTCAGGGACTTTTCTCCCCCAACTGGCCACTGAGCCTTCTCCCCTGACCCTGGTTACCAGGAAACCCTCCCTGCTCAGCTCTCTCTGTCCATGGTTCTTTGCCAGTATCTTAGCCGGGCTGGCTGCCCAAATGCCCTTGGCAGCCTCCTCCGTTTCTTTCTTTTTTTAAAATAAAAAATATTTTTGCCCTAGCCAGTTTGGCTCAGTGTATATAGAGTGTCAACCTGGGGACCGAAGGGTCCCGGGTTCAATTCCTATTGATGTTCTATTAAAAAAAAAAATTTCTTTTATTGATTTCAGAAAGGGAAAGGGAGAGAGATAGAAACATCAATGATGAGAGAGAATCATTGATTGGTTGCCTCCTGCACGCCCCCTACTGGGGATTGAGCCCACAATCTGGGCATGTGCCATCACCTCCTGGTTCATAGGTCATTGAGCCACACTGGCCGGAGGCTCTTCCGTTTCTTCCCTCCATTCTCAGCACAGGGGGCCTTCCTCCTGCCAGCCTCTAGGTCTCCTTCCTTTCACCAAGGCCCCATCGCTAGCGCTTCAGGAACCCGGCTGCTCAGCCTCCCAATGCTCACTTGACCCTCACTCCATCCCTTCCACAGCTTTGCTATTCCCTACCCTCCAGCCCGAGAGGCAGCCGACAGAGAGATGCCCTCTCTGCCCCGAGCAGGGCCTGAGGGCTCCGCCAGGCATGCGTCCAGCAAGCAGGTGCGACCACACGCCAGGCCCTCGGGGGAGGTGCAGGTGTGCAAATGGCTCTGGTCTCATCTGTCTCCGTTTCCCATTTCTGCTTCAGAAATACTTGGAGAATTATCTCAACCGCCTCCTGACCATGTCTTTCTACCGCAACTACCATGCCATGGTGAGGTTCAGGGGCTGGCTGCCTGGGTCTTCTTAGGAGGAGCAGGATAACCAGACCCCCAAGGGGCAGAGGATTGCGGTCAGTAGGGGCCTGAAAACTAGAGTCTGCCCTCTGAGCCTGTTGCTTCTGCAGACGGAGTTCCTGGAAGTCAGTCAGCTGTCCTTTATCCCAGAGCTCGGATGCAAAGGACTGTAAGTGTGTGACACCAGCCACCTGTAAAACGTCTGTGTCTGAATCCCTGCCTGAGAATGGGGGATGAGGTGAAGGGTGGGCTGGGGGTCTGGACTCCGCATCCAGCACCTCTTCCTGATTTTTCCCACAGGGAAGGGGTGATCCGGAAGCGCTCTGGTGGCCACCGCGTTCCTGGCTTTACCTGCTGTGGCCGAGACCAAGTCTGCTATCGCTGGTCCAAGAGGTGAAGCCTGGGGAGGGGCAGCTGGGCCTTGGGTCGGGATGAGGAAGGAGATCCCCAGGGCAGGGAGGCACAGACAGAGTCCTTCTGCTCCAGGTGGCTGGTGGTGAAGGACTCCTTCCTGCTATACATGTGCCTCGAGACAGGCACCATCTCATTTGTTCAGCTCTTCGACCCTGGCTTCGGCGTGCAGGTGGGGAAACGGAGCACGGAGACGCGGTATGGAGTCCGGATCGACACCTCCCACAGGTAAGACTCTCTGGTGTGGACAGACGCCTGATGGGTAAATAGCCAGCTTAGGGTCCCGAGGGGAGTTTTGTGGCATTGCCTTGCCCTGGAGCTGGCCTGGATTTGGACCAGGCAACTGTTCTAGCCAGATGCTTGGGATTGCTCTTAGCGTCTAGGCCCAGAGAAAGGGGCTGAGTGTAAGCTTACAGAAGGGACTCTTGATGTAAAAGAAATGCACTCCATTCATTCGTTCATTTATTCATTTGACAAACCCGAGTGCCTGGCATAATGCTAGGTGCCAGGAACCCAACGGTGAATAAGGCAGATATATGCCCTGTGCTTATGGAGTCGAGATTCAGGGACTAAGTAAGGGAGGAAGTGGGGAAACTAGGATAGCCAAAGTGGCCGGACCAGAGGTACAGAGGGTGAGGGTTGTGGCCCATCTCACTGTTCCTGTCCAGGTCCCTGATTCTCAAGTGTAGCAGCTACCGGCAGGCGCGGTGGTGGGGCCAGGAAATCACTGAGCTGGCCCAGGGCCCGGGCAGAGACTTCCTGCAGCTGCACCGCCATGAAAGCTTTGCTCCACCCCGGCCCGGAACTCTGGCACGGTGGTAAGACACTGATGCGCCTGCTGAGCTCCGTGCCTTCTGTGGCCTTCTGGACCCCCTTGGTGTCGAGTCCTTGGTTCTCTTTTATCTCCGTTAACCCCTTCTGACCTCAGTAGCCTCCCTCTTTGACTGCTTGAATCTGTCCAACCCCCTGACCTCTTTAAACACACTGATCTCTCTGATTCTCCTCTGATTTTTCTTTTCTTTTTTTAAATCCTCACCCGAGGATATTTTTCCATTGATTTTTTTTTAGAGAGAGTGGAAGAGAGAGGGAAAGGCAGAGAGAAATATTGATGTGAGAGAAACATATCGATTGGTTGCCTCCTGCACATACCCCCACGAGGGCCTGGGCTGGGGAGGATCCTGCAACCGAGAGGTACATGCCCTTGACTAGAATCGAACCTGAGACCCTTCAGTCCATAGGCCAATGCTCTATCCACTGAGCCAAACCGGCTAGGACTCCTCTGATATTTCTCGCCCTCAAACTTGGTCATTTCTTCTGATCCCTGGACAATCTGACCTCCTGTGATCTTGTAAACCCCTTTCACCACACTGCCCAGACTTTCTGTTCTCTATGATCTCCTCAAATCTCTCTGATTAATTCATTTTATTTATAAACTTTTCCTAAGCACTACTAAATGCCATGTCCAGTGCCAGGAATAAGAGTTGGGTGGGTGATTCAATCATGAAACAATGGGAGCTCACCATGCTGGTGGCAGATACAGGATAGGGGCACCGAGGAGCAGTCTGCCCCAGCGTGGGAATGCCATGGCTGTGCTTCCAGAAGGCAGTCACCCTGAGGTTTGCCTTAGCAAGATAAAGACAATGGAGAAGGGCTGTCCATGCAGGGAAGGTAGTAATAGCCTGGTGTGTTTGGGAACCACCGGTCTGACTGTTGGTGCAGAGTGAGGAGGAGTGGCCAGAGAAGAGTCTCGGAGCCGGCAGCCCCTGATCTGTCCCCGAATACTAAGCTGCGGAGGTTGACTCCTATGACAGGCAGGGGGACAGTCATGGAAGGAGTGTTGAGATTTGTTTTTAACATGAGAATAATAATAGCTAGTACTTAATGTAGCACTTACTATGTGCCAGGAACTGTTTTAAGTGTTTTATATGCATTAACTTACTGAATCTCCACAACGCTACAAGGCAGGTATAGTTATCTCCATTTTACAGATGAGAAAACCGAGGCAAGGAGAAGTTAGGTAACTGGCCTCAGGTCACACACCTTGAAAACACTGGAACCAGGATTCAAATGCAGGCAGATTGGGTTAAGACCTTGCTCTTAACCATCATACTAGAATGTTATTAAAAAAAATCAAACACGGCCGAAACTGGTTTGGCTCAGTAGATAGAGCGTCAGCCTGTGGACTGAAAGGTCCCAGGTTCGATCCCGGTCAAGGGCATGTATCTTGGTTGCGGGCACATCCCCACTGGGGAGTGTGCAAGAGGCAGCTGATCGATGATTCTCTCTCATCGATGTTTCTAACTCTCTATCCCTCTCTCTTCCTCTCTGTAAAAAATCAATAAAATATATATTTTTAAAAATCAAACATATTTCCCTAGCCAGTTTGGCTCAGTGGATAGAGCGTTGGCCATGAACTGAAGGGTCCCGGGTTCGATTATGGTCAAGGCCATGTACCTTGGTTCTCTCTCACATTGATGTTTCTCTCTCTCTGTCTCTTCCCCTCCCTTCCACTCTCTCTAAAAATCAGTGCAGCCCTAGCCAATTTGGCTCTGTGGATAGAGCACTGGATTGCAGACTGATGAGCCCCTGGTTCAATTCCAGTCAAGGGCACATGCCCAGGTTGTGGGCTGGGCATGCAGGAGACAGCTGATCAATGATTCTCTCCCATGATTGATGTTTCTGTCTCTGTCCCACTCCCTTCATCTCTCAAATCAATAAAATATATATTTTTTTAAAAGAAAAAAAAAATCAATGGGAAAAAATCTTCAGTGAGGATTTAAAAAAAAAATGATAAAAGTTGAACATGTTAACAGAAGTTTCCACTCATTGCATAATCCTTTATTCCCTTTTCCCCCCAGCCCTTACGTCTTCCCCATACAATCCCTTTTCTCACCTCAGAAGTAACCCTGGCAACAGTTTGACATTTATCCTCCCAGATTTTTTTCTGCATTATTTTCATATTCTTATTCATATATGTTACTTTTTGTTTTAATGTCAATGAGATCATGTACTCCCTTCTGTGATATTTTTTTTCATTTAATACATATATTAGAGATTAGGTGTTTAAGTTATTCCCCATTTTTTACTTTCTTTTTAAAATATGTTTTTATTGATTTCAGAGAACAGAAGGGAAAGAGAGATAGAAACATCAATGATGAGAGAGAGTGTCATTGATTATGCCCTTTACCAGGGATTCAGCCTGCAACCTAGGCATGTGCCTTGAAGGGGAATCGAACCGTGACCCCCCAGTTCATAGGTCAATGCTAAACCACTGAGCCACATTGGCCAGGCCCCATTTTTTTACATTTTTTCCCATTTTTCATTCTTTTTTTTTTTTTTTTAATATATTTTATTGATTTTTCACAGAGAGGAAGGGAGAGAGATAGAGAGCTAGAAACATCGATGAGAGAGAAACATCAACCAGCTGCCTCTTGCACACCCCCCACCGGGGATGTGCCCGCAACCAACGTACATGCCCTTAACCAGAATCGAACCTGGGACCTTTCAGACCTCAGACCAACGCTCTACCACTGAGCCAAACCGGTTTCGGCCCATTTTTCATTCTTGAGAGCTTGTTTGGAGGTTCTAGCAGGGGAGCGCAGCTACTCTTATACCCTTGACCAAAGACCGGTCCTCTCCTCTTGGGGGAAAGTCGTCCTCTTCTACCGAGCGCGCAGCTTCGGGAGGGACGCACATGGATCGGTGAGGGAGGAGGGGGACACCCGCCTAGCCAGCCAGATCAGCCGAATCAACCCTGGTGATCAATGGGGTGCAGATGTCGCAGCCAGATCGCCCTCACATCCCCATTTTTCATTCTTATAAGTAATGCCACAATGCATTTAATAGGATATATTCCTAGAAATGGAATTACTATGTGAATGTAATGGTTTTAATGGGTATACACATCTAACTATCTGATAGATACTGCCAAGTTGTCATCTGAAAAGTTTATAACCAATGTATCCGTAGTCTATAAGAATGCTCACTTCCTCATATGCTTACATTAAATGTTACCAGTGATTTTAATTTTTGCCAATCTAGTGAATTAAAAAATGTTATTTCACTTTCCATCAGGTTTTTTGTTTACTAGTGAAGTTGATTATCTTTCCTTATGATGATTGATCATTGTCATTTCCTCTGTGAACTGTTCTTATCCTTTTTCACTTTTCAGTTGGCTGATATCCTTTGTTGGAAGTCTTTATGTGTGATGTATTCATCTTCACAATCTTCAGTCATTTTCTTTAGTTTATTGTCTTTTCTAATTTTTTAATTTTATTTAGCTCATACTGGCAAATTCATCTCACTTTCATATGTCTGATACCATCTGACCTTTCTGATCATTATTGATCTTTGGCCCTGCTGTCACCTCTGACCCATGACTATCCTCTGGTCTTTACTCTCCAGAGCTTTCTGACTCCCCTGACCTCCTTGGCTTGGCCTCCCCCCAGGTTTGTGAATGGGGCAGGTTACTTTGCCGCTGTGGCAGATGCCATCCTGCGAGCTCGGGAGGAGATTTTCATCACAGACTGGTGGTACGTGTGGGGAAAGCCCAAACAAGAAGGGGTGGGATAGGGCTTTTGTCAGATCAGTTATAGATCCCAGGAGGGAGTGGAGAGGGAGGAGTGGCTGGTTGTCTGGGGCTTAGCTTACCCTCCTCAACCTCTACCCTGAATCCTAGGTTGAGTCCTGAGATTTACCTGAAGCGTCCCGCCCATTCAGATGACTGGAGACTGGACGTTATGCTCAAGAAGAAGGCGGTGAGGAGGGTGGTCAGGCTGGAGGGGAGGGGTGGTGGGGTGGGTTAGAAGGGGCAGAAGCATGAAGGAACATAGGAATCCAAGGCTTCAAGGGGAGGAAACATGCCTGTCTTGGCTTGGTGTCCGGCAAACATCACCGTCTCTTCTCCCTAAGAAGAGCTGACGCCTCCCTCTTTATGCTCCTCCTCTACCTGGTAGAGACTGCCCTCCCGGTGCCCATTGCACTCTATGTGTTACCTGGGGGTGTACATGACTATCTCCCATTGGACCGACTGATATCACTAGTTCCAGTACAAGGCACAGTGTCTACCATGTTGGAGGCACCCATAGATGTTGATGGACAGGAGGAAAGTTATGTGGACGATGGAGAGTGGGTGGGCAGAGAGAAAGGTAAATGATGGAAAGGGAGATGGAAGGATAAGCATTTGGAAAGGTGGATCAATAGGAAGGCGGGTGAGCAGTTGGATGGATGATAGTCCGTAGATAAGGGGATGAACAAATGATTGGGAGGATGGACGGATAGTGATAGATAGGTGGGTAGATATATAGATGGATGAGTCAGTGAGTGCATTGCTTAACCATTGCTAAGTGCTTTGCAAGCATCAAAGCAGGGTAAGTGGCAGAGCATTGAGGATCTCCAGGCTGGGTGTGGGGGGGGACAGTCAGGAATCCTGAGCCAGGGGGAAGGGCTTGGGAAGGTGGAAAGGTGCCATTCCGAGAGAGGCATTAGGATACGATACCCTTTGCACCACCAGGAAGAGGGTGTCCGTGTGTCCGTACTACTGTTTAAGGAAGTGGAGCTGGCCTTGAGCATCAACAGTGGTTATAGCAAGAGGGCTCTGATGCTGCTGCACCCCAACATAAAGGTGACTCACACCTCAGGGACCCTTCCCACATACAGTCCTCCTCACCGTCCTTCCCATCCTCTCAACCCTCCCTTTCCTGAAGCATCATGTCCTTCTCTTTCCACTGCCCTCCCAGCATGACCTCTTGTCTCTCTCTCACCTGAGCCCACCCTCATGAGCTCCTCCATATTTACTCCAGGTGATGCGACACCCCGACCACGTGACCCTGTGGGCCCATCATGAGAAGCTACTGGTGGTGGACCAAGTTGTGGCCTTCCTGGGAGGGCTGGATCTCGCCTATGGCCGCTGGGATGACCTGCACTACCGACTGACTGACCTTGGGGACTCCTCTGAGTCAGCTGCCCCTCAGGTAACCCCCCACGGTCTTCCTGAACACCTCCAAACTCACCTAGCCTGACTCTATACCCTTTCCCCGCTTCAACCTTCCCCCTCATTTCCACTAACCACTCCCCCACCCCTACCCCACCCCAATTCCTCGAGGAAGTGCAGCTGAAGGGGAGGGCTGGGAAGTCAGACGGTCTGTTTCATTCTTACCCTGTGTCTCTGTCTCTGTCTCAGACTCTTTCAGTGCTCCTCTCTTCTCTTGGGCCCTGGCTCTGTGTGGCCCCATGACCTCTCCTTGCCCATGGCTTGGGTGTGTTCCCCTCACAGCCTCCCATCCCGTGCTCAGACTCGACAGCCACCCCCGATTTCTCTCACAACCAACTCTTCTGGCTGGGCAAGGACTACAGCAACCTTATCACTAAGGACTGGGTACAGCTGGACCGGCCTTTTGAAGGTGAGGGTCCCCTCCCCCCAAAATCCCTGAGAGCTTGGAGCGGGGGCGAAAGTCTGGGCCGTGACTGAGAATGGGATGGGCTGGGTCAAGGAAAACGGCAGCCTTTCCTCTGGTCAGCTGCTCCTCCTCCCTGCCGCCGGTGTCCCCAAGAAGCCATCCCTGACCTCTCTTCTGGGATCCCCAGATTTCATTGACAGGACGACCACAGCCCGGATGCCGTGGCGGGACGTTGGAGTGGTTGTCCATGGCCCACCCGCCCGAGACCTGGCCCGGCACTTCATCCAGCGTTGGAACTTCACCAAGGTGCTCCCTCCCTCCTGGCGATGCTGGAGGTTGGGAGGGAGCCAGGGGCAGCTCGCCGCCTCCCGCTGACTCTGCCATCCCTCTCCCTCAGACTACCAAGGCCAAGTACAAGACACCCATGTACCCCTACCTGCTGCCCAAGTCCACCAGCACCGCACACCAGCTCCCCTTCACACTCCCGGGGGGGCAGTGCGCCACTGTGCAGGTGAGGCTGGACTGACTTCAACCTGCCCCACCCCCCTCCCTTCAGCCCACTCTCCTTGACCCGAGCGCCCTCCAGAGTCCGCCCCTCCTGGGCTCAGGCACCACGTCACATTTGCCATTCCCCCAGGTCTTGCGGTCAGTGGACCGCTGGTCAGCGGGGACTTTGGAGAACTCCATCCTCAATGCCTACCTGCACACCATCAGGGAAAGCCAGCACTTCCTCTACATTGAGGTCTGACTGGGGGTGGGGTTGTGAGGGGAGGGTGGAGGGGATGTCCTGGGAGAAAGACTTAGGATGTCAGCGGATCGGTGTTGTGGGCCTGCCCAGGTAGCTGGGCCGGGAGGAAAACGGGAGCCTAGGGCTGAGGCCTGGAGCCTGGAGGTGGGGATGGCAGCCCGGAGCTGAGGGCAGGGCAGGGGCTTTGCTGCTGATGACTCTTTGGTCCCTGCCCCAGAATCAGTTCTTCATTAGCTGCTCAGATGGACGGACGGTTCTGAACAAGGTGGGCGATGAGATTGTGGACAGAATCCTGAAGGCCCACAAGTAAGGTGGACTGGCAGGTGGCGGGAATTGAGGGCGTGGTTTAAGCCCAACTGGAGGGGTGGGGCTTTGGGGAGAAGTCACACCTCTGACTCTCCCCCCTTCCCAGGCAAGGGCAATGCTTCCGAGTCTACGTGCTGCTGCCCCTGCTTCCCGGCTTTGAGGGTGACATCTCCACAGGTGGTGGCAACTCCATCCAAGCCATCCTGCACTTCACTTACAGGTGCCCTTCTAGGCATGGCCCCTTGAACCCTGCCCTTCCCGATTCTCTCCTGACCCCTTCCCACTGGACTTTTGAGGTCTTCTTATCTCCGGAGATCCCCATCCCCTCCTCCAGCCTTCATTCCTCTCATCCACTCTTTTCCCTCAGGACCCTGTGTCGTGGGGAATATTCAATCCTACATCGCCTCAAAGCAGCCAGTGAGTTCTGGGGGCTGGAGGTTCAAGCCCTGGACCCCTTGGGAGTGGGAGGGGGGGCCTGGAGATCCAGGTGGAGGAAGGAGCCTATAATTCCTGTGTGCTTCCGAGGCTACTGCCCTGAGACCACAGATGGTCTTTCCCAGAGGGAGAAGTGTATAGACTGGGCTCTGACGTGAGGGGGTGTGTGGGCCAGGGCTCCATGTGCACATGGAGGGCACCTGGCATCTCACCCCCCTTCCCCGATCTCTCCTTCTTTCAGTGGGGACCGCATGGCGGGACTATATATCTATCTGTGGGCTCCGCACGCACGGAGAGCTGGGTGGGCACCCGGTCTCTGAGCTCATCTATATCCACAGCAAGATGCTCATCGCTGACGACCGCACGGTTATCATCGGTCAGTGCTGGATCCGAGTCCCTGGCAGCAAGAGCGGGGGGAGGGGGAGCAGGACCCAGCCAGGGCACCGGGGCGAAGGGAAGTGGCTGCGGCTGAGGCCCAATTGGGAGTCGAGGCCAAGGAAGGCGTGTTGCCCACAGGCATGTGCTCTGGTGGAGCTGATGGGGTGAAGGGGGTCACCCCGGGCTCAGACAGACACAGTGTGTCCCGCCCTCACCCCAGGCTCTGCGAACATCAATGACCGGAGCCTGCTGGGAAAGCGGGACAGTGAGCTGGCCGTGCTGATCGAGGACACGGAGATGGAGCCCTCCCTCATGGGTGGTGTGGAGTACCAGGCGGGCAGGTTTGCCCTGAGCTTGCGGAAGCACTGCTTCAGGTAGAGCCTGGGTGGGCTCTACAGGGTGTGGCAGGAGGGGGAGGAGGACCTACCCTTTGAGGAGGTGGGAGGATTGCTTAGACGTACTACTGGGTTTCCCAATGGGCCGTAATCAAGTTTGGGGTACCAGCAAAGTAGGGGCACAAAAGAGAGAGAGAGAGAGAGAGAGAGAGAGAGAGAGAGAGAGAGAGAGAGAGAGAGAGAAAACTTTAAAACTAATTTGTTATGTTTTTCAAAACATCTTGGTCCCCAAAGTAGAGACACATGAAGGCTCATTGATGCTATTTTACCCTTTAGCATTGCATCCACTTTGAAGGACCTGGGTAGGCGCAGCATAACTTTCCTGGTATTCAGGCTCTCTGAGGACCTTAATCTGGTCCCTGAGGATCTTAATCTTAAACCCCTTTCTCCCGTAGCGTGGTTCTCGGGGCAGATGCCCGGCCAGACTTGGATCTCCGAGACCCTATCTGTGACGACTTCTTCCAGTTGTGGCAAGACACAGCTGAGAACAATGCCAATATCTATGAGCAGGTGGGAGCTTCGGGGAGTGGATGGGGGGGCGGGGGGATATAGAGGGGGTGGGGAGGATTCATGGATTATCCTGTTCAGACTGGGATGGAGAGCCATACTCAGAAGGTGCATGGGACTCTGGGGGCATATCATGGGATTCGGTGGCTCAGGGTTGGTATGGGGGTGGGGGCTTCCAGCTTAGTTGGGCTTGGGCTCTTGGCCAAGTCTCTCCAAACCTCATTGGTTTCTCTGCCCCCCACTTCCCCCCAGATCTTCCGCTGCCTGCCATCCAACGCCACGCGTTCACTGCGGACCCTCCGGGAGTACGTGGCCGTGGAGCCCCTCGCCGTGGTCAGCCCTCCCTTGGCCCGGTCTGAGCTCACCCAGGTCCAGGGCCATCTGGTCCACTTTCCCCTCAAGTTCCTGGAGGATGAGTCTTTGTTGCCCCCACTGAGTAGCAAGGAAGGTGTGATGCCCCTAGAAGTGTGGACATAGCTGGGGTTCCAGCTGGAAGAGGTTGGAAGAGGTCACCAGCTCCACCAGGCCTGGCTCCCTGCCCCTGAGGACTGAGGGCAGTGCCCGCTGAGACCTGCGGGAGGCAGCATCTCTGAAGGGGATGGGAGAATGCACAGAGGACCCTTTCTTGAGAATGAGCCAAAGAGGGCATTCCCTGCCCTGGGCTCTGGAGGCAGGAGAGGGTCCCAGAAAAGTTCCCCTTCCCTCCCGCTGCCGATTCGAACCACTGCTACAGAGGAGAAGCGAAACTCCTGCCAGGATTCCCGGGGCTAGCCTTCCCATCTGTCCCTCCCTCTGCCCCAGGGCCTCTCCCGGCCCATTGCTGCCAAGGGGGAGAGAAGGATGAAACCACTCCTGGCTTCAGCCCCCACAGTGGGGAGGGGTGGGAATTGCACACCCACTCCCTCCAACCTCCTGCTGCCAGACACTAACTTTGTATCAGTTCAATAAGCGTTTCTTAAATAAAAGCCTAGGAAAAACTCGTGCCTCTTCCTCAGTCGGAGGGAGCACTTGTCTCAGTGCCTACACACAGCCCTGGGTTCTTCCCCTCGCCACCCCACTCCTTCCTGCTGTCTCCGTTTCCATTGCGCTTGTCTGTGGCTTTCGGAGCTCGGTTTCCAGGTGCTGGGAGAAGGTCACGCTGCTGTCTCGGTAGGAGGAAAGCAGGGCACCTGGAGAACAGGGGAGCTGGTGTTGCAGTTGCAGTGAGGGAGGGGCACAGAGAAGGCCTGGAGGAGGCCTGACAGCACAGGGAGAGGCTCAGGGAAGCCCTTTCCCAAGTGGTGAAGGGCATAGGCTTTAGGTCAGGAAGAGCAGGGCTCAAATCCTGGATTGGCCACTTGTTAGTAAGGTGCCTTCTCAAGTCGCATCACTTCTGGGCCTCAGTGATGCCAACTGGGAAATGGGAACAATGCTTACATAACTGGCTTGCTGCAAAGATTCGGTCGTTGACTTCATTACTGAGCACTTGCTATTTCCCAGACACTGTTCTAGACTCACGGAAGTGAGCATGATAAAGCCCTCATCCTTATGGGGCACTTAGGCACGTATGTTCTGAAGCTTCACTGTCCAGTACAGTAGCCACGAGCCACTTCTTTTTCTGTTTATGTTTAAATTAATTAAAGTTAGAAATAATTAAACATTTAGGTTATCACTCGCACAAGCCACATTTCAAGAAGTGCTCTGTTGTTGCCAGTGGCTAGCATATTGGACAGTGCAGGTCCTCCCATCCTTGTACAAAGTCCTATTGGATGTCGCTGCTCCAGAGGAAGAGAGAAAATAAATGGTATAGTTGACAAGAGAGTATAGCACACAGATTGAGAAGGGTTATCTCCCAGGTGTGGAGAAAAGGGGACAATGGGTATGCAGAGAGCCCTCCAAGTGAATCAGTGACTTATTTTTTTAAAATATATTTTTAATGATTTCAGAGAGGAAGAGAGAGGGAGAGAGCCATAGATGCATCAATGATGAGAGAGAATCGTTAATTAGCTGCCTCCTACTGGTGATTGAGTGAAGCCTGGGCATGCGCCCTCATAGAGGAGAATCAAACCATGACCTAGTTCATAGGTTGATGCTCCACCACTGAGCCACACTGGCCAGGTAGTGACTTATTTCTTAATCTGAGTGGGGGGTGTATTAATTTTTATTATATATATATATATATATGAAATATTTTGCAATTAGAAAATAGTTGAGCAAATATCCTGGCTCTTGTGCTTCATTCCCCCCTCAAGCCCCACTCCACAGTCTCAGAATTGACCACAAGGGAGCAGAGTGAGGAGTGTGCTGTGGATAATGATGTGGCAAGAGGAAATGCTGTTGTCTGTTCCCATCTTTTCAATCCAGTCCTCCCTCTGAAGAAGGCATTTCCACACAGGAGACCCCCTCCCACATTTAGCGGTCCCCTGGCGCTAATTGATATTCTGCTAATTAGCCTCGTTGTCAGCACTAAGTGCCTCTTTCCCTGGGAGACCATTACCTCATTAGCGGTGTAGTGGGTGGAGACAGCAGCTGCCTGGGGCTGGGCCAGGGGCTGGGCACCGTGGCTTTCTGCTTCACGTTGCCTGTTGGTGTATCTTGCCACAACCCCCTACTTAATCCCCACCCCCGACCCCGCACATACCCCCCCTCTCACGTTTGTCCTGGAGGTTCTTGAATGGAGGCCACCACAGTGCAGGGAAAAGAGTAGTGAGCTTGGAATTGGAAGAGCTGGCACTAAGGAGACCAGCAATTTTCAACCTTTTTTTATCTCATGGCACACATAATTACTAAAATTCTGTGGCACACCAAAAAATACATTTTTGCTGATCTGACAAAAATAAGTATGTATTTTTTCTTTAAAAAATTTTTTTTAATTGTTTAAAGTATTACCTATGTCTCCTTTCCCCCCATTGACCTCTCCCCGGCCATTCCCACCCCCCAGCACATGCCCTCACCCCCTTTGTCTGTGTCCATGGGTTATGCTTCTATGTGTGCATACAAGTCTGATCTCTTACCCATGCCTTCCCTCTGAGGTTGGATGGTCTGTTTGATGCTTCTATGTCTCTGGATCTATTTTTGTTCATCAGTTTATGTTGTTCATTATATTCCACAAATGAGTGAGATCATGTGATATTTATCTTTCCCCAACTGGCTTATTTTACTTAGCATAATGCTCTTCAGGTCCATCCATGCTGCTGCAAATGGTAAGAGTTCCTTTTTTTTCTTTTTTCTTTTTTACAGCAGTGTAGTATTCCATTGTGTAGACATTCCACAGTTTTCTAATCCACTCATCTGCTGATGGCCACTTAGGCTGTTTCCAAATCTTAGCTATTGTAAAATTGTGCTGCTGTGAACACAGGAGTGCATATGTCCTTTCTGATTGGTGTTTCTGTTTCCTTGGACTATATTCCTAGAAGTGGGATTACTGGGTCAAATGGCAGTTCCACTTTTCATTTTTTGAGGAAACTCCATACTATTTCCTCCACAGTGGCTGCTCACTAGTCTGCACTCCCAACAGCAGTGCACAAGGGTCTTTTTTCTCCACATCCTCACCAAGGTATAATTTTTATTGTTCTATTGGCTGTCTTTTTTTTTTTTTTTTTTTTTTTAGGGTGGTGAAGACCTGGGGTGGGGTTGGGGGCAGGCTAGAAGAGGTCAGTGGGGGGAAAAAGGAATATCTGTAGTACTTTCAACAATAAAGATTAAAAAAAAAAAAAAGAGGTCAGTGATCCAGACTAAATAGTCAGGTGCTGCCTGTTTTAATTCTTGCAGCACACCAGTGTGCCAGGGCACACCAGTTGAAAATTGCTGCTCCGCCCTGGCCAGGAAGCTCATTTGGTTGGAGCATCATCCCCACACACCATGGTTGTGGGTTTCCTCCCCAGTTAGGGCACATACAGGAAGCAGCCGATGAGTGGATAGATATGTGGAACAACAAATTGATGTTTCTCTCTCTGTCTCCCTCAAAATTAATATTAAAAAATACAAAGAAAATTGTTGCTCTAGCCCTGGTGGAAGAAAATAAACTCAGCCTCCCAAGGTGGGTGGGAGACACCGAGGTCCACTGGGAATGTGTAAAAGGTTCATTTATCACCCAGGGATACTATAATTTGTCTTATTTTTAATACATTAACTTTAGTCATACCTGACCCAGGACTTTCTCCATTCACCTCATTGTCTCTAAGTTTGTTTTTTTTTAAAATATATTTTTATTGATTTCAGAGAGGAAGGGTGAGGGAGAGATAGAAACATCAATGATGAGACATAATCATTGAATGTGCCTCTTGCATGCCTCTTACTGGGGATTGAACCTGCAATCCAGGCATGTGCCTTTAACCAGAATTGAACCTGGGACCTTTCAGTCCACAGGTAGACTATCTATTCATTGAGCCAAACCAGCTAGGGCTCTCTTTACGTTTTTATTAAGGACACATTTCCTATGTATATACAGGAGTGGTCAAAAGTAGGTTAATAATAATATAATTAATTAATATAAGATTAAACTGTTTCACTTACAATTATAAACCTACTTTTGCCAACCCTGTATATCTAAAAGTAGGGAATGGGATAATGAACCCTCACATATCTGGGGATCCATATTCTGGCTTAGATAATTATCAGCACTGGACTAATTTTGTTTCCTTCTCTCCTTTCCTAACCCCCAGATTAATTGTCTCTTGAAGTTTAAATGGCCATTTATCCTATCCCTGTGATCTTAATTTGCTCATTCAACGATTCCATATCTCTTCATTAAACACTGCCTATGAATCAGACATTAGTAAGTTTATTGAAGACCTAGTATATGCCAAGCGTTTTACATACCATTTTATTTTATATTATCCACCCTGTTATTATCTCTATTTTACAGATGATAGAATTGAGCCTCAGAGATTTAATGACTTGTTCAAAGCACTAACTTTAAATTCTATGTTTGTTTTTTTTTCTATGACCCAATGGTCTTGACCTTGAATTACTATCTATCACTGTGCTTCCCAGACAACAGAGGGCTTCACTCAAACTTATGTATTCCTGAACCTCTAAATGTGGGTGCCAGGCCCTGTGCTGAACACAACTGACATAATTCCTCCTTTAAGATGATTCAACAGGCATTTACAATTCAAAGCATTAAATGTTACCATGGTTTTAAGCCAGGAAAAACTCAATCTTAGTCAAGGAAGGCTTCGTGGAAGAAGTTTAGGACAAACATGTAGCACAAAACAAAGGGCAGTGGGCATGGTTAGAAGGTTCCGGGCGGATGGGAGCAGTGCAAAGGCTGGAGCAGGGTCTGCTGAATTCTGTGGTTGTAGAATGTGTAGGGTTGAATGGTGGAATGATGAAAAACAAGGCAGGAGAAGCAGGCGGAATCTTGAAGGGTCTTTGATGCCAAACTTTAGATTTTACTCAGTAGACGGTGGGGGTGCTCAGCTGGTGTGGCTCAGTGGTTGAGCAGGAACCTATGAATCAGGAGATAATAGTTTGATTCCCAGTCAGGGTACATGCTGGGGTTGAGAGCTCCACCCCCATGTGGTGTGTGTATGTAGTGTGTGTGTGTGTGTGTGTGTGTGTGTGTGTGTGTGTGTGCAGGAAGCAGCCAACCACGATTTTCTTATCATTGATGTTTCTATCTCTCCTTTTCCCTTCCTCTCTCTGAAGTCAATAAAAAAATGTATTTTTTAAAAAAAGACTGTGGGGAGCCAGTTAAGGGTCTTAAATAGGAGAGTGACGCCAGATTTGAGTTTTAGAACAATCACTAAGGATTTGGAGAACTGATTTAAAAGGGTTGGACAGGGAGACCAAGTAGGAGCCTGATAAGAGTAACGGGAGGTAAGTAAGGTGTGTGGCTTGGACAAAGACAATGGCAAGGTAAATAGGAGGGCAGAGGAGCAAGTCTGGATGTGCACCTGAGAGTACTCAAGGGCTCAGAAAGGAGGGTGTTAGCCCCTTCCTAAGGGCTCCTCAGGATTCAAACTCTCCGAAACGGTGTTTACATTAAGGTGGGAATCTTTCAGAAATAGTATTGTTTTTGGAAGTGAACTGGAGGATCAGCCTTCTCCCTCAACATCACAGTGAAAGAAATGTCCAGAGAAGCAAAGCGACTTGCTCTAGGTCACACAGCATTTCAATGGCAGGACATGACTCCTTGCTCTTCTTTTAAAAATATATATATTTTATTGATTTTTTTTACAGAGAGGAAGGGAGAGAGATAGCTAGAAACGTTGATGAGAGAGGAACATCGACCAGCTGCCTCTTGCACACCCCCTACTGGGGATGTGCCCGCAACCAATGTACATGCCCCTGACCAGAATCGAACCTGGGACCCCTCAGTCCGCAGACCGACGCTCTACCACTGAGCCAAACCGGTTTCAGCGACTCCTTGCTCTTTACATGGAATTAACCCGGCCTCCAGTGAGGCTAGCAGCTTTGGAGGGAGCTCTGCCAGAACGACTGGACCTAAGGTGGGTGACCCGAGCAAGATGTGAAGGGATTGGACAGATTCTCCCTCCTCCTCTCTGCCTCTCCCTGCCACACTTTCCCCAACGTGTGGCTCCAGCGATCAGTCAAGGCATAATTGTGGAAACAGTTCCTTTGTGCCGAACAAGAGGTTCAGAAATTACAGTCTGCGGCAAGAGGGCCTATCTTGAGATCTGAGATCCCCTCCTCCCCAACCCTCTCCAGCTAGGGGAGGGGAGAGAGGGCATTCCTGAGGCACCTGGTCCCACCCCCCTGTGCTCCCCAACTCCCTTGTGGTTCCTCCAGTCAAGTTCTCACCGAGAGGCCCCTCCCTCTCAACAGAGGCTCCACTGTTGCCATGGCAATCGGGTGGGTGGACAGCCCATCCTACCTAGAGGCCACCCAACCCTCGCGTGGGGAGTTACCATAACAACCCTCTTAGTACTAGAGGGGGTTGTGTCCTTCCCGCTTCCTCTGCAGAGAGAGAGGTGGGCGGCCTGATTGGCAGCTGAGCACACGGAAGAGGAGGGGAAGGAGAAGGGGAAGGAAAGGCGTCCAAAGGAGAGCTAAGAAGAAAGTGGGGGAGAGAGAGAGGGCAAAAAAAACAAAACAAAACAGGGGAAGGGAAGGAAACACGCGTGCGCACGCGCGGCAGCCGAGGGTGCGCGGCCGCCCGGGCCGCCGCCCACTGCTTTCACGCCCGGCTCGCGCGGCCGCCCGGTCCTCACCGGCGCCTTCCGCCGCCTCCTCTGCGCGTGCGCGCAGGTGCCGGCGCCGAGGGGGAGGGGGCCCGGCGCGCGCGCGTCACGTTCTCTCGCGTCCGCCCTCCCGGCGCGCCGCCGCTCCGCGCCTGCGCAGCAGAGGCGGCGGCTCGGGTTGCAGGCTCCCCGGACGCAGGCTCCTGTCAGCCCGTGGGTCGGTCCTCCCGCCGGCCCTCCCCTTCCCTGGTGGTGTCCGCCCCCAGGATCCCCCGATGGGGGAGCAGTGGCGACGGCGGCAGCGGACTAGCCGAGCGGGAGCGTGAGCGGCGCCGGGGCCCCCGTTCGCCGCCGCGGAGGCCATGGGCGACCCAGCCCCCGCCCGCAGCCTGGACGACATCGACCTGTCCGCCCTGCGGGTGAGCGCGCCGCCCCCCCCCAGCTCCGCCCGGGCTCCCGTCCCCGCCGCCGCCGCAGGGGAGCGGGCTGGCCGCTCGCCTCACGTGCTCCCCGGAGGAGGCCCTCTCCGGCAGCCGGCCCGGTCCCCCCTCGGCGACCCCCGCTCCTTTCCCGGGCGCCCCCCGGGGCTGGGCCCCCCGCCCTCTGCTCCTCTCTCTCTCTCCACTTGCTGCAGATTCTGGGGAGCCACCAGTTCGGTCCCCACCCCGGGGGGCCCCGCCCCCACACTTCCCTGCCGCCTCTGCCTTCGCTAAGGCTCCGGGCTCTCTGCCTTCAAGGCGTTGGATGGTCACCCTCCAGTCCCTCTCTGAACTTGCGCTCCATCACCTGCAGGATCTTTATGATGGTGCCCCTCCCTGCCCGCCCGCCCTCCCCCGCCTCTCCAGCCCCTTTCAGTCCTTGCCCTTACTCAGGGCAAGGATTTCCTCCCCCTCCTTTTTCTGGGTTTCTCGAATGTTGACTTTGCAACTGTCTGGACAAGCCTCCCTCTCCTTTATCCTCGGCCACCCCTGAATTGCATCTCTCTCTGTGGTCGGCATTTCAGCCTCCCAGCTCCACCCCACACCGCCTACCGTCGTCCTCATCCTCCCCCCATTCAGCTCTCCCTAGCCCTTCGAGTGCAGCAGTCTAGAACCAGGCATTTCCGGTCTCAGGGTCCCTGAATATTACATTACCAACTCTGCAGCAGTGTGGGGCCGGGAGAGAGACAAGTGCACGGGTGGAGGAGGGGACGCGTGCATTCTCTCCAGAAACTCCGGCATGGGTTGGGAAGAGGATGTTTCTGGATGTACACCCACAAAGCCCATGCTGTATGTTATGTGGAAAACCTGCTTGAGGGATGGGGATGAGGATGGGGTGGGGGGGCTCATTGGAAAAAGGATGAGAAGAAACGATCGCAGCAGGCATTTCTTGGAAATACCTATTTATTGTTCCTCCCGGGGCGCTTGCATGGCCCTCCTATGGGAGCTTTTTCAGGAGCACTTGTGTGCTTTTCTGTTTCAACAAGGAGCTCTGACTTAAGGGGGCAATTTAGTGATTTCAAGGTGAACACTCCAGACTGTGGCCCAGGTGGTGTTTTTGTCCCCTGTCCTTCGAGCTTTCCATCAGGCCAAGATGTGTGTGTGTGTGTGTGGGGGGAGGCTTTCCCGTCTCTGGGTTAGCTTCTCTGGAGGCCATTCACATCGTCTTCTGGCTTAGGAGTTCGCCAGGGAACACGGCCAGTTTATCAGGAAAAAGGCGGTCAGCCACACAGGTGCCCCGGATACGACTGGAGGGGAGAGGGGAATTGGAGAGAACAGAGTCGTGTTGTTAATTGGGTTTCTGTAGGTGACATAGATTTTTCTTGCCATTCAGGTCATAATTTGTTTGGTGCAGTGTTGGGCTAGGAGACCTGGCTTGCTGGAGATAAGGTGATAAGTTGCTGAGGAGGGAGAGACGAAGAAGCATCGGATTTCTGTTGTGTGTATGGGTGGGGAGAGCGTCTGAAGGCTTGAGCGGGGAGATGTTTAAGGTCGGTTTCAACTTTGATTCTCAAGTTCAGCCAGTTAGGGTAGAAGATGGTAATTCAGGCTCCCCTTTGATTTGCTCCTCTCTGGGGCCCGTCCCCACTTTCCCTTCTTCCCTCCCCACTTTAGTAGTTAATTAACTACAGGTTCTGTGGCTGTGGTGGCTAAATTACAATAAAAAAGGGGTGAGTTCAAACCATGACCTTTGATTTAAACCTTGTGGGACTCTGCTTGGGCTTCTGTTTTCCTTTAGCCTCCTCTGCTAGAGTTTGGCCTGGATCCTCAGCCTGGGATTTCCAGCAATTCTGCAAACACCCTTTGACCTTGGATGTGGTATTTCCTTTCTGGACTTTTCTGCTAGAAGCAGTGTTTGCCTCCTTCCTCAGCCTCCTTCCTCAGTTGCCTCCTGCCTTATTCTGCTCTCTCCTTCCAGAGAGGCCGCTTGCTGATCTGCTCCCAAGTGCTTCTGTCTTTCCTGCCTCAGGCTTCTTAATAAAGCACCCCTCCCCCACTACCCCCCTTCTACACCAGGGGTTGGGAGGGAGCTGTGCTTTCTTTGAAATGGGGCCTGTTTCCTCCTTGATGCTGACCTTTTCTCAGTGCCTGTCCCCTCTACTCCCCCTCAGAGAGCTGCTGTGGCACCGTGGGGCCACCAGCTCAGTCAGCTCTTGCTCTGTTCCTGTCTGTTTTCCAGTGAGAAATGGGTAACCTAGAGAATTAACAGCAAAGATGTTTCCCATTGCCCTAGCGAATTTGGCTCAGTGGATAGAGCGTCAGCCTGTGTGGACTGAAGAGTCCCAGGTTCGATTCCAGTCAAGGGCACATGCCTGGTTTTCAGGCTCGATCCCTAGTGTGGGCTGTGCAGGAGGCAGCCGACCAATGATTCTCTCTCATCATTGATGTTTCTATCTCTCTCGCCCTCTCCCTTCCTCTCTGAAATTAATAATATTTTTAAAAATATATTTTGTTGATTTTTACAGAGAGGAAGGGAGAGGGATAGAGAGTTAGAAACATCAATGAGAGAGAAACATCGATCAGCTGCCAGTAGGGGATGTGCCCTCAAACCAAGACCGGAATCAAACCTGGGACCTTTCAATCCGAAGGCTGACGCTCTATCCACTGAACCAAACCGGTTTCGGCAATTAATAATATTAAAAAAAAAAAAAAAAGATGTTTCTCTTTACATCATCATGTGTTGGGGGCCTGGGGAGGAGGTGGGAGAGGAACATATTCAGCATTTAGTAGCTGGCCTTAAAGAGGCCAAATTGTCATTCTTCTCTTATTTCAAGATAAGGCTTGATTTTTAGCTGGTGATGAGAGTAATAGCCTGATATTGGGGAAGATTGAATTGCACTAATCTCTTAGTCATGTGTGGGGAAGCCAGGTGGACCTGCCACTGTGATACGGGCACCATTGACCTCTTTGAGGCTCCATTTCACCATCAGCACAGTAGTATGGGGTTGTATTCCTAAGATGAAGTCCTGGCTTTTTCACTGAAACCTTGGCTTTGCTCCTCCTCCTTCCCTTACTTGCTACAGATTCTGTAAAGCCCTTACCCTCTCTAAGGCTCTGCTTCCTCATTTGTATAGGAGAGGAATGTATACTAGTACTGAACTCAGTTGCTGGGGGTTAATGAAATACTGTATGCTAACTACTTAGTCCAATTCCTGGCACATAGCGACCATATATCAATATTAGTTTTTATTGTTGTTAATTGTTATCAAATGGCAATCAGAGAAGCCTTCTAGGGCAACTGTATCTAAAATAGCATTCCCTCCCCTGCTTAATATTTACATACAATTTTATTTTATTTTATTTTTAAATATATTTTTTATTGATTTTATACAGAGAGGAAGGGAGAGAGATAGAGTTAGAAACATCGATGAGAGAGAGTCATTGATCAGCTGCCTCTTGCACACCCCCTACTGGGGATATGCCCGCAACCAAGGTACATGCCCTTGACCGGAATCGAACCTGGGACCCTTCAGTCCCCAAGCCAACGCTCTGTCCATTGAGCCAAACCTGTCCCGGCATACATACAATTTTATATAACATTCCCTTAATCTGCTTTATTTTTCGTAGTATATATCACCAGCTGACATAAATATTTTCATCAACCCTGACTAAAATGTAAATATAGTGAAGGCTAGGACTGTGACTGTTGTTCATTTTTGCATCCTGAGCGCCTATGGCAGTATTTTGTGCTTAAAAGGGGCTCAAAAGGTTGTTGAGCCAAAACCGGTTTGGCTCAGTGGATAGAACATTGGCCTGTGGACTCAAGGGTCCTGGGTTCGATTCCGGTCAAGGGCATGTACCTTGGTTGCGGGCACATCTTTAGTGTGGGGTGTGCAGGAAGCAGCTGGTCGATGTTTCTCTCATCGATGTTTCTAGCTCTCTATCTCTCTCCCTTCCTCTCTGTAAAAAATCAATAAAATATATATTTTTAAAAAAGGTTGTTGAATAAATGCATGTTATAATAAGTGAAAACTCTTAGCACAATGCTTGCTTAGAGAAAGGATTCAACAAATGTCATGCTTATTAGGCTTCCTCCTGCCACTCATTTGTATGCGCACAATTAAGAATATATCTTTTCTGAGTTGTTTTGAAATCAGACCTTGTCTGGTGGAAAAGAGGGTTCTGGAAACTTCTATCTGAGCAATGCTCATGAAGTAAAGTTAGGATCATTCAAGAGAAAGTTTGCGCCTCTTGCTTCAAACCTTTTTTTGTGTCCAAGCTTGGTTATATTCCAGAAGAGTCTTCTGACTTGGAACTCATGGCTTCTCACAGAGGGCAAGTATCAGTGGAAGTGGATGGGACAAGGAGGGAGCAGACCCCAGGCTGGCCTCTTTCCTGTGCATTGCTCCTTTTGGTTAACCCACTTCATAAATCAAACAGCTTCTCCTTTACTGTCCGACCAGCTAGAAGTTTTAGACTGCAGTGTTCCTTGAAATTATGGAGCTAAATACAGTGTTGTTGTATTGAAATAATATGGAGCTCAGTCAAGAGAGACTTGTTGCTAGGTAGTAGTGCTGACAGAGATGTTCTTTCCCAATGATTTTGTGTTGTTGTGTCTGTTCTTTGGAGAAGTCTCTTCCCCCTCCTTGTCTCTTCATGAGACTGTAGAGCCAGCGCCACTTGGAAAGCTGGCAATTCTGGGCATGCATTTCTAGGCTGCTGAGCAACGTGGGACTGCTACTGTGTTCCGATGTGCTAGCTGTCCAAATGTTGATGACAGATGCCTCAGGCAGGGGAAGGGAAGACTGACCTCCTACTGCAAACGGTGTTAAATAGTGACTTTTTTTCTTAGAGAACTGTAAACGGGGAGTGGGGCTGTTTGGGGAGCTTGTGGCATTTGGAATGAAGCGAAATGCTATTTGGCAAAATGAGGGAAGGAAGATTGCGGAGAGTTTTGCTGGAACTGGATGTTCAGCCATTCCCCCAAATGAAGGAAGAGACACCACCACCTTTGATGCTGTGGGATAGGACAGATGGCCATAGTCCTTAGTGATCATGGAGGGGAAGGCCTTTGCAAAAGTGCGGTTTTGACAGTTAAGATAGTAGTAGGAGGGTTAGCAAGAGAGCCAGCAGATCCGCTCTCTCAAGCTTGCCCCAGGAGCTTGGTTGACACTATGCTGTGTGGGATCCTAATTTCAGACTTAGCCTTCTCCTTTCCCTGCAGCTTTGAACTGTGTGCCTAACACAGGGTAACCAGTGCTTGCTTCGGCAGCGTAAATGATGTAAACTAAAACTGGAATGATACAGAGAAGGTTAGCGTGGCCCCTATGCAAGGATGACTCGCAAATTCATGAAGCGTCTATATATATATATATTTATTTATTTTTTAATTTTTTTTTTTAAAGACAGGATAACACACAGCTTGGATAGGAAGAGTGTCCTCAGTTGTCATTTTGGGGACAAGATGGTTGAAAGTGTAACCACTCATTACAAGCTTGCACCTTATTCCATAAATAAGGAACGTGGTAACCTCTCAACCCAGAAATATAAAACAGTTCTGGGACTGAGGAGCATCTCCAGAAGCCATCTGAGAGTCTGTCTGACTAATCATTCTGTCTCCAAAGTTGTGCCAGAGAAAGTTAATAATATCCTTTCTTGCATCAGTCAGTCACCAATCATTGTCAGTCTGCTGTATTGAGAATCAGGTTCTCGGTACCATGGGAAGGATGTAATATTGTACTCAGTACTGTACAAACTATTTAATAAGAACTCTAGGAGCATCCACTTAAGACATGCCTTTGTGCCCTGGCCAGGTAGCTCAGTTGGTTAGAGCGTCAGCTCAATATGCCAAGGTTTTGGGTTTGATCCACGGTTGAGGAACATATAAGAATCAACCAATGAATGCATGGGTAGGCGGAACAACAGATTGATGTTTTTCCCTCTCCTTTCCTTCCTCTCCCTCTCTAAAAAAAAATAAAAATAAAAAAATTAATAAATAAAAATTTAAAAAGAAATGCCTTTGCAAGTTCAGGCTCCCCTTTTCTGATCTGCTATTGCTTTCCTCAAAGCCTCAGAACCTTGGAGGAATTTCTTGTTAAGTTTGTTTTCCATGAATTATACTCATTTTTTGTTATCCTCAGTCATCTTGAAATACAGTCTTTTCCCTTCCTCAACAAACATTTTATACCCTCCAACTCCCTCAATCTTTTCTTTCCTAGGTTTAAGAAATAGAACAAAAGTAATCCGGTTAATAAGTCAACTCTCAAAGCATTTCATGAATGCCCACAGAATACAGAAAGACACAAAAACATCACTTGGTAGAAGAATTAGACCCGGTCTACAGCCAACATTCATTGTCTCCTCTCTCCTGTTTTTCCTGCCATTCTTTTCCCAACCAACCAGTCCTTGACTTGAATCTGGGATTTTCCTATCTACAGGAAGTTTCTCCAGAGAAATTGACAAATACTTGAGGTGCTTTATAAGGGTAGGGAATGGTAGAGGAAGGAAAGAAGAAAGGGTTGGAATTGTGGTGACTCAGGAGCCTCTGGAGATTTTGTCCAGTGGCCAGACAGACTGAGGATGTACTTGCTAACTGTGGGAAGGATTTCCTATCCTGTCTTGAGGAAAGATCTCAGACTAGGCACAGAGGATACAGTGACAAAACAATCATTGGTTTTCCTACAGTGTAGGTAGTAGGAGAGACATTAATAAAATAATCAATAAATGAGCCCTGCCTGGTGTGGTTCAGTTGGTTGAGTGTTGTCCCATTCACTGAGATCTCTAATTTGATTCCTGGTCAGGGCACATGCCCAGGTTGCAGGCTTGATCCCCAATAGTGGGCATGCAGAAGGCAACAGATCCATGTTTCTCTCTTTGATTGATGTTTCTTTCTCTGTCCCTCTTCATTCCTCTCTCTTTAAAATCAATAAAAACATATCTATCTCTATATATAAAAGCCTAATATGCTAAGTGTCCGACCAATCAATCGGTGGGCTGTTTTGACAACCGTTCGACCAATTGCTATGACATGCACTGACCACCTGGGGACAGATGCTCCTACTGGTAGATTAGTTTGCTGCTGGAGTCCAGCTGATGGGGATTGAGCGAGATGGGCCTGACACGGCCTTGAGCCCTCCTGTGGTCCCTCCCCAGCCGGCCAGCTCCCATCTGCCCCTATTGGGACTGGGCAAGACAGCCCCTATTGGTCCTGATTACTGGCCAGGCAGAGGGCCTCTACTGTGCACGAATTCATGCACTGGGCCTCTAGTTAAAAAAAAATATTCATATATAATACATATACATACAATTGCGAATGATGATAAGGACTATAGGAAAAAACTTTAGTATGACATGAAAACATATAGTAAGAATTGCCTTTACTTTTTATGTGACAGAAATATTTGGTTGGTTAGATTGAGAGAGAAATAAATCACATATAAGAAGACCAAGCTGGTATGGCCATAAAAAGAGTAGATAGAAGTGAACCAGCAGGTGGAGTTTGGTGATGACCAGAAATGGGAGACACTGGAATGGTGCTGCTCTTAGGGTAGAATATTTGGTCAAAAATCAAGGGCTTGGGCCTTATTATTTTAAATGCTTTTTATTTATTTTTATTTCAGAGAGGGAGAGAGAGACAGAAACATCAATGATGAGATTGATGCCACCTCCTGCATGTCCCTCTACTGGGGACCAAGCCCATAAACCGGGGCATGTGCCCTTGACCGGAATTGAACATGGGACCCTTCAGTCCGCAGGCCGATGCTCTATCCACTGAGCCAAACCAGCCAGGAATGGGGTGGAATTTTCAAAAGGATTTCTTCTGAGCCTTACTATTAGGGGGTGGAGGGAAGTTTATTTGTTTCAGAGGGTAAGGGCATATGACTCATATGACCCTCATTTTTATTTAGGGGGAGAAACTCTGAGTCTGGGTTTGTGGACTCACATGTTGCTTTGCAGAGGGTGGATGAAGGAATGTGCTTGTTGCCTAGAAAGGGCTTATGAGGGAGAAGGGCATATTAGATGTTTTACTTTTTTAAAAGAAAAATTGTATATATTTAGGGTATACAACATGATATGTTTTTTTGTTTGTTTGTTTTTGTTAATCCTCACCTGAGAATATTTTTACCATTGATTTTTAAAGAGAGTGGGAGGGATGATGGGAGGGAGAAAGAAACATCGATGTGAGAGAAACACATTGATTGGTTGCACACACCCTGACTGTGGCTGAAGATTGAACCTGCAACCCAAGTACGTACCTTTGACCCAGGAATCAACCCTGTGACCTTTCGGTGTGTGGGCTGACGCTCTAACCATTGAGCACACCAGCCAGGGCTGCAACATGATATTTTGATATACATAGCGAAATGGTTGCTACAGTCAAGCTAATTAACATAGTCATCTCCTCATGTAGTGTGTGTATCACTAAATGTCATTAACCTAAGTGGTAGCTCGGATTGGAAGGTTGGAAAGTCTCACAGAAATAAGTACAAGTGGGCCTGGTTGTTGTGGTCTGTGGGCAGTGGGAGTCTTCCTGACATTAGATGTATATAAATAGATGATACTCTCAGTTTACATTGTGTACAAGTAAAGGGTGGGTGGGGTGTGGAGGAGGAGTGTTACTGATTTTGCATTTTTGAAAAGAAACAGGGGTGAGGCGCCACTGTCTTGGGCTTCATGGAGGAGCCGTGCTCCAGGAGCAGCTTCAGGACCTGGGGTGGCAGAGTAGAAGACAGTGGGATGGACTGAGAAATGTTTGATGGCACAGCCTGTGGGAGGAGCCTTAGTGGCTGGAGAGAGATGAATAGAGGAAATGGGCTCTCTGCCTAAGAAACATGGTGATGGTTGGTAAGGGAGGAGGCAGAAAACCTCTGACAGAGGAGGTAGTTAGGACTTCAGACTCAACTAGGAAGTGCATGTCCCCACAGCAGGAGAATCTCACAAGGCCGAAGGTGACTTGGAGAGCTTCTGTAATCACAACCGGGAACCCCCTCCACTCTGAGTCTGACTGAGTCAGTGCACATGGCAGGGAATGCACCCTGCCTTGCCTTTAGGAAGAGAAGGCCTTCTTAAAGAAGGCCTGCCGTTAGCTGGTCTTCTGAAGGAGAACTGGGAAATTCCTCACAACCTCTTCTCCCAAGAACCATTTGAGGCAGAGATCTGAAGGGCTTGCAGTGCTGGGGAGTTTTCTATGTACAGAGGTGCTTGCAGGCACAGATTGAGGATCAGGAGGGGCTGAGTGAAGAAACTTCCACCTCCATCAAGAGTTACCTCAACTCGCCAAAACCGGTTTGGCTCAGTGGTAGAGCGTCGGTCTGCGGACAGAAAGGTCCCGGGTTCGATTCCGGTCAAGGGCATGTACATTGGTTGCGGGCACATCCCCAATAGGGGGTGTGCAAGAGGCAGCTGGTCGATGTTTCTCTCTCATTGACTTTTCTAGCTCTCTATCTCTCTCCCTTCCTCCTCTCTGTAAAATATCAATAAAATATATTAAAAAAAAAAAAAAAAGTTACCTCAACTGCTTTTTCCACAAAGACTCTCCTGACTATGCTATCCTCACTGCTTGTGTTCTCTATCTTCTCACACACCTTACAATTTAGCATTTGGTTGTATATTACTTCATATTGAATAATATTTTATGGGTGTTTCCCCCCCTATCACTTCCTTACCTATAGGGGCTAAGATCTGTAGCACATTGAGTTCTCACAGTGCTTACAAAAAGGCTGAGCACATAGTAGGGGTTCAGTAATTATTTGCTTGGTAAGAGATAGGGATTTAAACCTTCCTGTGACTTGTCCTTTCCCACTAGATTCAGTCTACAAGCACCAAAGCATGCCCTATATGTGCTTGGCACTGCAACAGAAAACAATACAGGTCATTCAGTACATTGCCTTCCAGGGGGTGTTTAGAAATGGGGGGGGGGGGAGGGGACGTTTAATTGTCACATGTCTTGGAAGCACTAACAGTATTTAATATTTGGGGGATCAGAGATGTTAACCACCCTACAATGTCTGGACAGCATATTGAAAAATTATGTTTTTTTTCCACCTAAATTTCCAACAGTGCCTCTTGTGAACTTGTTATGAATGAGGGAAAGGTTAGGTAGAGTACTAGATAGCTTTCTCTCATGAAATTGGAAAGTAGTTCCTAAGTGACCTTTTACTTCTTTTGGGGTGGGGAGAGGAACGTAGGCTTTGCAGTACTTTTCTGCCGGGCATAGATCTCTTCTAACAGCTTTTATTTGTCCGAGAGCACACCTCAGGAGGTAAAATGGGCCTGCTCCAAGCCAGTCTGTAAGGAAGAAGGTTTTCGTGTTCTCTTTTCACTACACACCCACTTTCTTCCAAGGTACATTTGTAAGAAAGTGGCTGAAGC